GCCTTGGAGAGAGGAAAAGCGTTAGGAGTGGGCGTAGAGATGAAAGAGAATCTGGGAGCATTAGTACGGGGGTGGGGGGGGTGCAAAGAAGGGCTTCTTATGACTATTTCTGGAAAATCCAAAATATTTTGAATTATTTGTGAAGCTGTGTCTGTACCCCATCTGCCAACTGGTATCCTTAATCACCTCATTAACCACCCACCTCTTTTCTCTCTCCCACAACCCAACTTAACTGTCTTCATGTTTGCTACATAAAAGCCTCTATTCACCCTCCTTAAGGGTGTGTTGGGGGAAGGCGGCTAGGCTGGCCCGGAGTTCCACCCAGTTCTTAAAGTCTTTAAGTGAATTATTTCAATTTTTACATCTTTATACAGATGCTGACTGCTCTGGGGCACTGCTCCTGCCCCCTTCTACTTTCTTCTCTTCATTTCATTTCCTTCTCTTTCCCTCTATCCTTTTCTCTTCCCCACCCACCCTGCCAATTCTTTTTTTTTTATTGAAATTATAGTTGGTTTACAATGTTGTGTTAATTTCTAGTGTACAGTATAGTGATTCAGTTATACTTTATATATATATGTATATATATACATATGTATATTCTTTTTCATTATAGGCTATTACAAGATATTGAATATGGTTCCCTGTGCTGTACAGTATGAATTTGTTATATACCTATTTTATATATACTAGTTAGTATCTGCAAATCCCACACTCCCAGTTTATCCCTCCACTGCCCCCTCTTCCTCCACTGGTAACCACAATTTTGTTTTCTATGTCTGTGAATCTGTTTCTGTTTCATAAATAAATTCATTTGTGTAATTTTTTTAGATTCCACATATAAGTGATATCATGTGGTATTTTTCTTTCTCTTTCTGGCTTACTTCATTTAGTATTACAATCTCCATGTCCAACCATGTTGCTGCTAATGGTATAATTTTATTCTGTTTTATAGCTAAGTAGTATTCCATTGTGTAAATATACCACATCTTCTTTATCTGGCCTTCTGTCAATGGACATTTAGGTTCCTTCCTTGTCTTGGCTATTGTATATAGTGCTGCTATGAACATTGGGGTGCATGTGTCTTTTCAAATTAGAGTTTCCACTGGATATATGCCCAGGAGTCACTCCACCAACTCTTTCCATCCATTTCTATCCTTCTGTTTCTCTTCCTCTATTAAGCTCAGGATAGCAGATAAGGAAGGAGACAAGACCAAGACCAGGATAAAAAGCACATCTTCCAGTTTCTATCTTCCCCAACCCTAAACTAATGACAATAATAGCTCCATTTAACTAACATATATCATAGGCCAGGGCCCACGCTGGCAGATTCTACAGATGCCTTAGTTTCATTCTCATCACTAGCCTATAAGGCGGTTACCATTATTATCAGGATTTTAATGATGAGGACATGAAGGAACAGGAAGGTTGAAGAAACTCATCCAGTATCACACAGCTAGTAAATAAATGGTAGAGCAAAGATTTAAACCCCAAGTCTGACTTTAGAGCTCAGACATTTAACCCCTGGGCTGTGCTCTCAAGACTTCACAGCTCTTACAGTAATCAACACAACATGGTATTGGTACAAAAACAGACATATAGACCAATGGAACAGAATAGAGAACCCAGAAATGAACCCACAAACTTTTGGTCAACTGATCTTCGACAAAGGAGGTAAGAATGTACAATGGAATAAAGACAGTCTTTTCAGCAAATGGTGTTGGGAAAACTGGACAGCAGCATGTAAAGCAATAAAGCTAGAACACTCCCTTACACCATACACAAAAATAAACTCAAAATGGATTAAAGACTTAAACATAAGACAAAATACAATAAACCTCCTAGACGAAAATATAGGCAAAACATTATCTGACATAGATCTCAAAAATGTTCTCCTAGAACAGTCTACTCAAGCAATAGAAATAAAAGCAAGAATAAACAAATGAGCTCTAATGAAACTTACAAGCTTCTGCACAGCAAAGGAAACCATAAGTAAAACAAAAAGACAACCTACGGAATGGGAGAAAATTTTTGCAAATGAAACCAACAAAGGCTTGATCTCCAAAATATATAAGCAGCTCATATGACTTAATGAGAAAAAAACAAACAACCCAATCCAAAAATGGTCAGAAGACTTAAACAAACAATTCTCCAAGGAAGACATACAAATGATCAATACACACATGAAAAAATGCTCAGTATCACTAATTACCAGAGAAATGCAAATCAAAACTACAATGAGGTAGTCAGAATGGCCATCATTCAAAAATCCACAAGTGACAAATGCTGGAGAGGCTGTGGAGAAAAGGGAACCCTTCTACACTGCTGGTGGGAATGCAGTTTGGTGCAGCCACTGTGGAAAACAGTATGGAGATTCCTCAAAAGACTAGGAATATACTTACTGTATGAATCCCGCTCCTGAGCATATATCCAGAAGGAACCCTACTTCAGAATGACACCTGCACCCCAATGTTCATAGCAGCACTATTTACAATAGCCAAGACATGGAAACAGCCTAAATGTCCATCAACAGGTGACTGTATAAAGACGAAGTGGTATATTTATACAATGGAATACTATTCAGCCATAAATAAAAACTGACAACAGAACACCATTTGCAGCAACATGGATGCTCCTAGAGAATGTCATTCTAAGTGAAGTAAGCCAGAAAGAGAAAGGAAAATACCATATGAGATCGCTCATATATGGAATCTAAACAAACAAACAAAGCATAAATACAAAACAGAAATAGACTCATAGACATAGAATACAAACTTGTAGTTGCCAAGGGGGCAGGGAGTGGGAAGGGATAGACTGGGATTTCAAAATTGTAGAATAGATAAACAAGATTATACTGTATAGCACAGAGAAATATATACAAGATCTTATGGTAGCTCACAGAGTAAAAAATGTGACAATGTATAACTGAAAAATTGTGCTCTACACTGGAATTTGACACAACATTGTAAAATGATTATAAATCAATAAAAAATGTTAAAAAAAGAAAAGACTTCACAGCTCTGTCAAGTCATGACACACATGAAATGTGACCATGCTTGTATAGCATGTGGGGCAAACTGGAAGAGATTTATTAGGGTTTAGCAAAAAAACCCACTTAAAAACTTTCTTAATAGAATGATAATAATATACAAAATAATAGGAAAGGCATCAAATATTACATCGTATAAAACTTCCAAGTAAAATATTTGTAGATTTTGAACGATTTGTAGATTTTATCTTGTGCTTGCTCCTAAGAACGTAGCCTTTGGTATTAGGTTTTATGCTTGAAATAGCAACAGGCCGTTCCTGATCAAGGTTTTAAATGATCTCTTCAAATTCTTGATCGTCACCCTTGACAAGAGTCTCGGCTTGCACGTGTGGATGGGGGTCAATGGCAGGACGACATGCTTTGCTTTTTCTTTCATTGATGAACAGCCTTTTCTCGCCATTGAACAGCATTAGATAATCTAATCTCCAAATTGTCCTTCAAGGATGTGAACATATTTTCTCTAACAGCTATTACTTTCCTTTTCATTAACAAATATAATGTTAATATTTCTTATGATAATTTGAATTGATTTCAAATCCAACTGAGCTTTTTCATATTATCTATTTCAAAATAATAATGAAACATTTCCTCAGGAATAGGCAAATATCACTCTACTGATCTGACAAATTTCTCTTAAGATTTTTTTTAAACATTTTTCGTGGGGGTAATCAAGTGTATATACATTTATATATGTTTGCGGCATGGTACAATTTCTTATTTTGATGCTTCCACACAAACAAGACATTAAGGCTGAGGAGAAGAAAAATTATCAATGCAGAGAAATCCAAACTCGAGATCATACTCATTACATTGCCTAATTAGTAACAAATGTTTTTGGACTATTTTGGTGAATATGATGACTTTCCAGTAAGTCCATTAGTTTGGTGAAATAAAATAATTTTAAACATAATAACTAGTTAAACAAAAATATTTTAGAAAGTGATAAGCTTTTATGGTTTCAGAAGTTGACTTTTTAAATAATGTCCTTTACCTGCATTTTAAGACTTGGATAAATATCAAAAATTAAGCATAGAGTAAGCATTTAAATGTTCAATTTTATTTACTTCAATATTAAAATTATGGAAAACTGACAGAATATAAATATTACTTCCACTCACGTATGATCAAAAATATTTTGAAAATTTGGCTTTCTGAAGCCATAAAAGCCTATAGTCCCCTTTAATGAATCAATTTAATAAAATTATGTCCAATTATTATTTTTGAAAGAAATATTTTTTAATTTATATAAAAACCAATAATACATTATGATAATCCATTAATCAGATTGGTTAATTGTTAATATCTATAGGCGTTAGAAAAAAGAAGGATGGAAGGTAGAAAGAAAGAAAAGTAGGAAGGAAGAGATAAATTGAGTAACTCAGAAAATTAAGAAAATCAGTTTTGTGCTCTTTAAGCATATCTAATACTAGATGTTGCTAATAATAGTGATAATAATGATTATGAACATAATAAGCAGGTAGCAATCATCCATTCCATTGATGTTAGTAGAAAATACAAACATAAGAGTAAATTAAATCCAGGGGAAAAACTAAATTATTTTGAGCCTCAAAAACCATTGATGACAAACAAACTTGGACCAAAGTAACGTCACATCAATTGAGGAGAGTCAGTGGGGAAGCCAGGGAGGTAGCCTCTCTCTAGCTGTGACGCTTGCTGAAGTCTTAGGCACAAAATAATGGTTATGGAATACAGAACATTTCTAGAGGGAGTCATTGCTTTCAAACATAATATTAACTACTGTAATACTGTGTAATGAAAAAGAATATGTATGTATAACTGAATCACTAGGCTGGACACCAGAAACTAACACAACGTTGTAAATCAATTATACTTCAATTTTTTAAAAAAGAGTTCTTTGGAGTGATTCAATGCCAGTCAATTCAAATTCCTTGGGAGAAACTGTGGGTTTAAATAGTATCAAATAATTGTCTATCTAAATAATGTCTAACTAATTAAATATCCAATCAGGATTGACTGGCTTCCCACTCTCTTGTGTCTTGAAAATGTCTCTCCCATTTTATCTTTTTCCTCTTAGATTACAAGGCTTTTGAAGAGGCAGCTGAACACTTCCAGCCTTACATCAAATTTTTTGCTACCTTCGACAAAGGCGTAAGTACCTACAAAACCCCAATTTAAACACTTTAAAGTCTGAACTTTCACCACTTTTTCTTTTCTTTTAGTGACATTAACCATCCTCCATCCCCTAACACTTTCTCCAGAAGTGTTAGAAATATGGCAGTAAATTATCATTGGATAAGAGATGGGCACAAAGATGATTAATTCAGAGGATGTAAGGGAATTTCTGAAAACATCCCATAAAGAGAGGTGAACCACTCTTCATCACCTTCGGCATTAAGAATGAGAAATGTGTCAGCCCAGAGAGTGCTGGGACGCTGGCCACTGCTTCCTTTCTGTTTAGGGCCATCCTCTCCCTTCCTGGGGTTGTCTACTCCACCCTCCCAGTCCCCTATCCCACCCCCACCCACCTGACCCCGAGCTACTGGGTTAGGATGGGGGATGGCGTGGGGAGGAGCACTGACCATCGGAAGCCCTGGTGCTTCAGAAAGTTACCTACATCCTCAGGAGATGTCACTGAGGTACTTGTCTATAATTCAGTGGATCTACACTTTCTGGATGTGCAAGTGCTCCTATAAGCCAAAGGACAGCTAGAGGGACCATGGATCAATGAGTAATTTATTTGGGGTCTACTTTGGTCAGAGTACTCTGCTCTGGCTCCAGTTACTACCAAAATGGCTATTTATTGAGTGTTTTCTGGGCGTTGGGTGCAATTTGATATATTACATCTATACTGTTTCTTATCCTTTAAACAACTCTGAAACAACTCTGAAAAGTGAAAACAACAAAAACAACAACAAAAAAAAACCATTTCCCAGATGATAAAGATTTGGAAAGGTTAAGTAACATCCAAGGTGTCTAGTGAATTAATAGTCGTGTTGCGATTACAGTTTAGGACAATCTGTACCCAAAACCCATCCCCGTTCTTCTGCACTTCACAAACTCTACCTGCCTTTGAGATTCAGGGTGCGCACCCACACTCACATCCACACAACACTCACTCATATGCAACACACACAACACCCATATAACCACATGCAACAAACACATAACACACAACACACACACTCACACAACGTACAAACATAACACATACCTCCCCACACAATCATGTTCACACATATAGAACGCTCCCAATACACACACATTCAAACCCACATCCACACCCACATCCACACCACCCTCTCACACACGTACCCCAGCTAAAAGCCCTGAGTCACAATATGTACTGTGAAAAATAAATCTAGGACAAACTAAGTTCTGACCAAACTCAAGTGGCAAAGGGCAAAATAAAAACGGTACAAGTTCCCCCTACTGGGGAGAAAGGCAGTTGATGAGCAGTGCTCATGGGCCTTGATGGAGCTCAAGTTTTCTGTGAAAAACAAGTCACTGGAGCAGGGAAGGAGTATAATGAAGAGATTGCATGAAACGTTACTTCATAACCGCGTCTGTGGCTAGGACCCAGGTCCACAAGCCTGTAATCCAGAAGAGATTCCAGCCACTGTCCGTCTAAGTCATATAATCTAAACTTGGAGAAAGTTTACCCTAATTGGTTGGATTTGAGTTGGGAGAGAGTTTGAACAAGAATATCAAAATAATAGCTATCATTTATTCAGTACTTTTTACATGCCAGGCTTTGTGTTAAAAGCTTTACATAGATTTTCTTGGCATGGTGGGGTGGGAATTAGGTTTGATTGTTTGTTTGCTTGTTTAAATGGAGGTACTGGGGATTAAACCCAGGACCTTATGCATGCTAAGCATATGCTCTACCACTGAGCTACACCCTCCCTGCTTTACATAGGTTTTCTCTTTTAATCCTCTCAACACCCCTGTAGAAGAGGGATTAAAGTTCTCAGTCTCCAGAAGATGAAACCAAGGCACCGAGAGATTAAGTGATTTGCTTGAGTAGGTCAGCCTGACTTCAAAGTCCATGCTCCATACTGTTGCTGTCCAGAGAAAGAAACAGCACATGTCAAATGCTCAGCTGGTATCCACCACACAGTAAGCAGTCAGTAAATATTAGGTGGTACTGTTGTTAAGAAGGGACAGTCATCTAAGCCCAGGAGAAGCGAGGCTGGGGGAGGATATCAGTGAAAAAGAGGAAGTCCAGGGAAGCCTAACCAAATCCATCCCTGACGTTTGGTTATGATGGGCCAGCGGTGAGTAAGGTGGATCCCGCGTAAGAACTCATCTGAGGGAAGAGAGAGTCAGGCAGACAAGTGTGGCCAAGCAAGAAAGCCTCAGTTCTTAGAAGGGTGATCCAATGCTGAGCTCAGGGTGCTGTCTGTTTTCAGATGTGCCTCCAAGCTCAACCATATGGCTTCACGTCTGTGGCCTGTAAAGAAAGTGAGGTCAGGCTATAATTAAAATCTCAGAAGGCTCTTCACTAAAAACTCTGTAAGACACTGAGTCAGAAGTATCCCCATTCATGCATGTAGCCTTGTGGGATTTCATAACATTGAAAAAGAGAAAGATATATTCTCTCCCTCTGTATAGAACACAGAAGGAAGAGCTGTTGCACTGAGTGGACTGGATGCCATTTGGGACTTAAGCATTTGCACCCATCAGTGGGGGAAATGGGGAAATGGCAGTGTCCAGAAGGCATGGCTGCCCTCAGGCCAAGCCTCAGTGGTGTCCAGCAGGGGGCGCTACAGCAGACGAGGTGGGCTGAAGGACTGGCTTGTGAGACACACCCTAGGGAATCCCAGAAGGGTCTGGGGGTGGGGAGGTGCTTTATAGAGGCTTGAAGTCAGGAGACGCAAGGGTCCAGGAAGCACTACTACAGTTTCAAGGATGAAAACCCAGCTGGCAGAGGTTGCGATGACAGGAGGACCTGGCCGCAGTGGAGATGCAGGAGAGAGAGATGATAGAAGACACAAAAATAACTGAAGATTGCACGTCTCTGCTTCAAGACAGCCAAGACTGTAAAGCTGCTGAAAACACTAGGGAATCTAGGAAAAAGCATCTTTTAAGGAGCATAAGATGGGTTCTAATTTCTACAAGTTGGGAAGACATTCAACTGGAAGGATCTTTCATTTATTTATTCATTCACTCACTTAGCAAGTATTTATTGAGTGTCTTTTATGTGCCAGGTGCTCTTCACGAAGAGGCCAGGGACACAAGATTTAGCTAAACAGATTCCTGTCCTTGTAGGATTTAGAGTTGAGTCTCTGGGGTGTGGGGCTGGGGCAGGAGAAGATGGGAAGGGAGAAAGAATTATATTAAATATATTATATGAGGTGGAGAACTGTAAACAGGATGGGCTATCAGGGCTGCTGAGGCAAATTTGGGAGTTTAGTAGTTCCCAACCACTGTCCATGTTGGTATGCCCCAAGGAGCTTTTAGAAGCATGGATTCCTGGGCCCCACACTTGGAAATTTGGATTCTCTAGGGTTGTATCTAGACCCAGAAATAGGCATGTACTGAAATCTCCCTGGGAGATTTTACTTGGCACACAGGTTTGTTACCAGCCCTGCCTGATCTATGGATCTTAATCCTACATCAAGCCACACAAAGGTCCAACCTCTCTGAAGCAAATGCAGCAAGAGTCAGAGGGCTAAGGGTGGTGTCTACTCTATGCCATCTCATACCCTGAAAAATGTCAGTTCTAATTATCCCGTGACATCTCCCCCTGGCCTGCTCTTTTCTTGGACTGAACAGTGAGGAGCAAAATAATTATTGAGCCAGTAGAAGCTGTGATTATCTAAACAAAGTTGATGGAGAAGGTAGATGTTGAGATCTAAATTCACTGAGTTGCTTTCATTTGCAACAACTGAAATGGCTTGCTAACTTGTAGAAAACACATGTTATCAAAACCCATACACTTGCAAATGTCAGAAAAATGGCCATTGTACTTTGTAATTTTCATGTTTTTGACAAACTCCATTCCAACTAATTTTTTTAAGCACAAAAGAATTCATTATATGGAGCTCTTCAGCTTTTAATTGTAAAATCCATTCTTATTTAATTGTACCATCCATGAACCAGATCTGGTCCCTCGGATACAGTTAGGCCCCTCTGAATATTTATTGAATAAATGAACAAATCCATGACTCGATCAATCAAATCTCCTTCAGTCTTTACCATCCAAGATACAATTAAAAGAATAAAAGAAAGGGGTTCTCTGGGACAGAAGATGAGGAAACTCTTTGGTAATGATGGAGACAGTGAACAAGCCTCTGGGAGATTTTGCTCAGAGTTCCCAAGACTTAAGACTATCATAATCTAACTTTAAATTCATGGTCTTTACATGACAGACCCAGACAGACAGACACACACACACGCACGCGCACAGTCATACACATGGGTGCGTCTACACAGCTTACTCCAAAGGAGGTTCTGACGAGCTCCTTTTCACCTTCAGGAAGCCTTAATTCCAGCAGACTGTGCTGGGGATGAATTGATGAGACCATGTTACAAGAGGAACAAAGGAACATCTCGCGACAAACCGCGCACCGCCAATGTAATATTTAAAGGGACATAAATTCCTTTCTGTCCAGTGTCAAGGAGAAGGTAACTTTCAAATGAAAGGAAAGTTGGAATGGAGGCAAATTGGTAGTTTTGAAAGAACACTTCCCTGGACAAACTGTATATGCAAATTGTGCTGCGGGCTCATCCTTTGTAAAATAAATATTATTATAATAGTTCTCATGTCATACAATCGAAGTGAGGGTACACAAACGAATCAACTCGACACACTTTGCAACAGCGCCTGGCACATAGGAAGCACTTCACGTGCTCACTGTTACTAGCTTTTGTTCATCTGGTCACTTCCTACTTCAATAAGCACAGTTTCCTGGCTCCTGAAATATGCAGTATGTGAACTCAGCCCTGAATCCAATGTCACTTCCAAGCCCGTTCTGCAGTGGGCCCAGCTCTGTGAAGAACCGTGTGTGAACTCAAATAGCTGTTTCCTCCCCTTCCCCACAACCAGACTCCCCGCCCCACAGAAGAAGGAAAGAAAGAAAGAAAAACCCACGCTGTCTTGTCCCTTAAAACGAAATCAGCAGGACCGTAAAATCTCTTTGACGGACTGTAGCTTTTAACGCAGCCTGTTGCCCTCCGCTCTGAGTAGGATGCTGGAGTTTCTTTGCCTCGAGCACGGTTAGAAATGTCTTTTGGAATATAGTGACCTGGAATTCATAGCAGTTGATGACAAAAGCCACAGGGATACATACCAGTGTTGGCTCAGAAGGGACCTCCTGGTGTAACAGCTTATGTAACATCCAGTTCCTCCCACTCCGCAGCTAGGCCCGGCTGCCCTGGGGCTCTGCACCGCTGGTCACCACCACCGGGTGGCAGCTCTTAGGCAATTCCTCTTTAGTTTCAAGGGAACCACTGTTCATCCCTGTGCTTTCTTGGAGCAGACTACGCTCTGAACTAGAAAAGAATGGCACATTCCAGGCCTCTCGAATCACTGCACAAAAAGAGGTGTGAGGTCATCAGCTCTGCAGGCAAACACAGCGACCATTCTGCCCTGACGAGACCATGTGGCCACTTCAACCAAGAGAGCACGTGGCTTCCAGGCTACAGGCCGGCTCTCCAAGCTTTTTCTCTGGTATAGCATGAGCAACTCACCCTAGCTTGCTGGGTACTATCCCTGAGTTAGCGTGGGAAGTCTGAATCCTGGGAAACCCCTCCGGCCTGGACAAACCAGGAGGGTGGGTCGCCTTCTGACCAGTAACAAACCAGGCAGTTCCCAGAGCCCGAGAAACCATCCAACAAGCCCAGTGCTGTGAGACAGCCCTGGGGCCAATGCTTCAACCCAAATAGCAATTAGGGTTTATGAGCTGATTGAGGACAGAAGAATGGGTTGGCCTCTGATTCTGAGTACCTGTCTGCGTTCAATGGTTTCCACCAATTGCCTGTTCTGTCAAAATTTGTTCAGTTAGATCCATACATCCCAGGACACCGAACATGGTCTGTTGACACTGGCTTCCTCCCCCAGCCCTGGCAAATACAGTGGAGAGATGGTGATCGCGGAATCCAATTTCCCACCTTCCATTCTAACTGCTCTCTGCCCCTGATTGGACCTCATTTGCCAGGTTTTTCTCTTTGTCCTTTGATCACAAAAGGAGATCAGTCCAGCCAGACCTTAGATGCTGAATTCCTGTCATTTCAACATTTAAGTTAAAACAGTACATACACGCTCATGTCTTTTGTAGAGAACACACGCACCCTTGCAGCCGGACCACCACTAGACTAGCATTCAAGGGAACTATTGTCTTGTTTCTAATTGCTACAGGTTGCAAAGAAATTGTCCTTGAAGATGAATGAGGTTGACTTCTACGAGCCCTTTATGGACGAGCCCATTGCCATCCCTGACAAGCCTTACACAGAAGAGGAGCTCGTGGAGTTTGTGAAGGAGCACCAAAGGTGGCCCCGATGGCGTGCAGGGGACAGGGGGTGGGGCGGCTGGCCCAGGGCCTGGGGGATGGAGAAGAGCCTCTCAGTCTGGTCATTTCAGACCCCCAAGAGCAACAACCTGGAGTTAGTACCCCCGCAGAACTGAACCCAAGAGTGTGGCTTTGGTAGGCATTGATCAGTGGCAGGGATGTTACTGCATCTTCTCAATATGGGTCTACAGTTGCAAGCAAGGTGAGGCCACCTCCCCACAGTGAGGAAATCTCATCGAGTAAGATGTGCATAAAATTCTACTATGATAATGATAGTGATTTAGTGACAGCCTCGTAAAGTATCATTTTACCTAGTCTTCAACAGTATGCGGTAATTATCACCATGCTAATTTTCACAGGTCCAGGAATTGGGCTCAGGGAAGTTAAATAACTTAGCCAAGAATGAACATTTTATGCATGGAACTTCTGGGAGAGGAATGTTTGATACCACTAACTCTAGTGTGGATCAACACACTTTTTCTGTAAGGGGCCAGATAATAAATATTTCTGGCTTTGTGGTCCAGATGGTCTCTGTTGCAAATGCGCAATTCTGCCATTGCAGTGAGCAAGCAGTCATAGGCAATGTATAAACAAATGGGTGAGGCTGTGTCCCAGTGGAAGTTTATTTATAAAAACAGGAGCCATTGGCTGGATTCCGCTCACCAGCTGTAGTTTGCCGACCCTAGCTTGAGAGAGGGACAGTCCTGGAACATCAAACATGGAGGCGGGTTCACAGCCTGGGCCGCCCACCCCCCAACCACATGCTCACAGGCATTCACTGAACCTGGAGCATTGTGATTCCATCACCCGGTCAGCCTCAGGCCCTACAGGGAAGCAGCACTTGGAGGAACAAGTATCAACATATCTAACACCATTTACCAACATTCAAAAAGAAATGAAACCTGGTGGGAGGGTAGGTGGAGCTCAGTGGTAGAGAACATGCTTAGCATGCACGAGGTCCTGGGTTCCATTTCCAGTACCTCCATTAAATAATGATGATGATGATGATGATGATGATAATTAATAATAATAATAATAATAATAATAATAATAATAATAAATTAAAAATAATTTTTAAAAAAGAAATGAAACCACAAGCAAAATAGAGATCTGACCTGCTCCACCAAACATCCCAAAGGGCTTTTGATGGCTGGCTGTGGTGACAAAATAGTTGGAGTCCTGGGCTGTTTTCTGTCCGAGGTCTCCTCCCTCTGGGCCTGCTCTGGGTCCTCAGGAACGGCACCTGTCTCGAGGAGGGGAATGGCTTCTGGCCTGGGGATGAGCTGAGTCTGTGTCCTCTGACCCATTATTTGTAACAGACGTGGATCAAATGGGTCTATGGATAGACGAAGAGCTTTCAGCCCAGCGCTGTGTGCCACACGACAGGGTCGATCTGCTCTGTCTCTTAGGGGAGAAACAGGTTTGTAGAGATCATCGTGCTCTTGCAAAGGAACCAGCATCTCATCTTACATTTCATGGTGCTGAGGCTTTGGTGTCTGCCAAGGTAATCCCTACTCAAGGGAACTCTTCTTTTTTTTTTTTGTTCCTAGACCCACCCTACGTCGCCTGCGTCCAGAAGATATGTTTGAAACATGGGTAAGAAAGTGACAAACTCTTTGTGCCTTGCAGAGATGGGTATATTCCCCCAGAGGAATACCCTTGTGAGTCCCAAGTCTAATTTGGATGGGGTGGATGCATGGATGGTGGAGAATTTGAAACGTGGACAACATCGTACTCAGTTACAACTCAGTTCTCCAGGGATCCAACTCAAGCCTCTCTGGGGTGACCAGTAGGCAAAATTACTCTGTACCTCTGAGTTCACTTCCTACAGTGACTACTGGCTTCCAATCATTGGCCACTAGAGACCCAAGGTAACATAGCAGGAGCTCAGACCATACGTTTATAGACTTGGGTTCAAGTCCAGAATCCGCCACCTAGTTGCTCTTCATGCTCCATCAGATCGTGTGGTCTTTCTGAGCTTTAGTGTCTGTATCTAAAATTAGGCTTTTTGTAAGAATGCGTGGCGCAAAGAACCCAGAACATGGTAGGTGCTCAGTCAATGAATGGCAGCTGTTTTTCTAAGTATTGACTCAAAGCACTGAAAGAGTCAGATTTTCCCCTAGGTTTATGTCATTGACAATACGTACAGTGGGTATATAAATATAAATATAAAGAGGTCCTCGGATATACACCCCCAACCCCTCCCTAGCTTTATACAAAGTTCTGCAAACAATAGCAACCAAAGTCTGTGGAGCATTTTTTAAAGCATTTCATGCATCCTTTTACTTGGATCTCTCAACAGTTCCAGGAAGTGATATAGAACAAGTATTACTTAACTTCACGGGGAAACTGACAATCATACAGATTAAGTTAATTACTCAAGGGTACATAACTAGCATGCATTAGATCCTGGGACTGAAATTTAGACCCTCTGGAGCCAAATCCCACGTTTTCTCCAGTATACCTTTTAGAGGGGCCATGTCCCCATAAGGCAGTATTTTGGTGGGGGTAGTGGGGAAGGGGATTAACTTGGACACACGTGTTTACTAATTCTCCAGTTCAGAGTCTAAAGTGACAGATGAACAAAACAGTGGAGTAACTTGACACTTTCTGTTTTATTGGCATGTAACTTCTGTGGAGGTCTGAAGGTAGAACAAACATTTCACACCAAAGGCAAATAATCCAGTCTAGAGGAGTGGAATATTTAAGAACGACTCAGCACAATAGGAACATATGTTCCTCACATTTAAACGTTTCAAAAACTTAACTTCTAGGAGGTATTGCTATTAGATTTCAAAATAGCAAAAAGGGTATAATGATGTTTTAAAATATTTTTATTCCTTTCTAAAATATTTTTACTTTTCACTTGAAATAATTTCAGACTTATTAAAAAATAATGCGAAGAATTCCGTGATCTCTTTTCCCAGATTCCTCAAATGTTAACATTTTACCGCCTTAGCTTTATCATGCTCTCTTGACAGATACATAGATACAGATTTTTCTCTTTTCGTGACCTATTTGAGAGTAAGGAGCAGACCCAATTCCCTTTTGCTCCTAAATACTTCAGAAGTTTTCTAAAAACAAGAACTTTCTCTTACATAATCACAGGACACTTATCAAAATCAGGCAAGTAACACTAATACAATTCTGCACTCTCATCCGTGGACCTTATTCAAAGTGACTGGTTGTCACTGGTGTCCTTTATAGTGAGAGAAAACATTTGTTTTTTTTCCTGGTCTGGGATCCAACCCTGGGTCACATGCTTGTGTTTGGTTGCTAAGTTTCTTTAGTTGCCTTCAATCTGGAAGGGGCTGTTGGTCTTTCTTTGTCTTTCATGACATCAGGTTGAGAGTGATTGTTGCTTCTCTGTTCTGCTGTGTGCCTTTATCTTGACTTCTCCTTTTTATTTTGTTCATCCCTAAGTAAGACTTCTCAATTATCAAGGCTCCTGGAAGGGAGAGACTGCAAAACTGCAGAACCCTTCTCTCAGGCCTTTCCTCCCTGACACAGAAAATCACCACATCGTAGCGGGACACTTCCTGCCCCCTCCTTCCGATCCCCGACACCCCTAACACCCTACACTGCCCTGCAGAAATGTTCCCTCCCCCATTTTGGAGACAGATGTTCAGAAAGAAAGTTCACTGTCTAGCCTCATGGGAACCCATTCTTGGCCTTCTTTTCACTTAACGAAGAATCACAGCTTTTGAAAGGGCTGTGCATTGAATTTAAGTAGGTGGAGAAAAGGGCAATTAGGCTGGTTTCCTCCTTTCCAAATCTTCATCGTGGAAGACCCACGTGACTTCCCCAGGAGACCTAGTCAGACCTAGCCGGCCCCTTGTCCCAGTCTCCAACTAGGGAGGGAGGGTGGGACAGGCCCCTTGGGGTCATCTTCGCATCCCAAAAAGGGAGAAGCAGAAATCAGCCTGTCAGAAGGCTCTTCAAGAACCACTCTGCCTACCCCCTCATCCACGTGTGCCCACCTCAGCGGGCACTGCTCCCAAGCAGCATCTCCAAGGGTTACTTGGCCACAGCAACTTAACCCACACGTATCAGGAAAGTAACCCGTTCACGAACTTAAAAGTCTTCATCTTCAACACCTACTCCCTTAGACTTTGCAAAATATGTAAATAACAGGAAAGCTAGGTAGGGCCAGAGCAACTCTTAACCTTCGTCTCTCCCCAGTTGTACAGGTTTTTAAAGCAGCAAATCATAGAAAATACACATTATTCCTTTAAAAAAAAGGGCGTCTAGTAATACTCGCTGTGTGTAAATCAAATAGCTATCGATTACTTATTTATTTATTTAGACTATTCAAAGCATATCAGGGCGGTCCAGGCCCAACATTGACCTGTTCTTTCTCTTCGAGACTCCATCTTCCCACCAGCTCTCCACCCTAGCAAGTGGTCAGCCAGAGTCCTCGGCAAAAGCCCCCAGAAATGAGAGTCAGCAATTCTTTCTAAAAGAATCCTCCCTTGGTTGCAATAGGAAAGTAGTTAGCGGGGGGGGGGGGGGGGGCAGGGATCTCCCGTGAGCCCCTACATCACTCCGTTAATTAGGGAGTCTGCCAGTTTTAATTGCTTTTTATTTTTCTTTGCGTCTCTTTATTCAACATGAGAGCAAACATTCAATAGAGACTAGAAGGAAATAGAGTTAAGTATGAACAATGGTAATATACCTGATTGGTGGGGTAATTGACATTTAGTTTCTCCTTGGTATCTCTAATATTTTCAGATGTTCTTCGAGCAGTATATAAGATTTTTATCACCATACACTTTTTTTAAAGTCAATAGGCATTAAGAAAAACCTATTATGTTGCGGTGAGCACAGAGGTTATAAAAATAAACATTGCTGTCCTGTCGTTAGGAATTCAGGGTTGAGTAGATGAAACAGTCTCAGTAACCACCAGCCCACCATGCTCGCTGCCATGACAGAGGGACATACAAAATGCTAGGGAATCCAGAGTAAGATAGTCACCAAAGTAACTCCTAAATTTCCACATCTCTGTGGGAGCTGGTGTTCAGACACTGTACAAAAGCCCTTTCTTGGCCTCTTTCTACTTAAGTAAGAGCCCCTGACCGTCTTCTGCAAAGCCTGCAGAGAGACAATAGATTTATGGAGCCCATGCTGCTATTGCTGGTGATGTCAGGGAGGAAAATTTTTCCTCTACCCTCTTAGGTTCATGTCTTAGCGCCTGCAAATTAAACTGGCAAAAGACAGATTGGTAAGAGGGGAAAAAAAAAAACCCAGCTTTAATTAGCTATTTATGCATGGGCGTTCACAAAGAAATGTGACTCAAGGAAGGGCTTATATACGATATTAATGAGGTATGGGGGGTGGGGGCAGAGGAGTGCTTCTGGGAGAACAAATGACTTTTTAGAAAGATAAATGAGCCCTTAGGAGAACAGATGGCATATATGATAGTTTTGTGATAACGTCTGTCCGAGAAGAGAAGATTAGAGTTATGACAATTGAGTTCTTTTGAGAGGCTCTGCCTATACGCAGATAAAAGGATTTCAGGGATTCAAATGCCTTCAGCCAAAATAGTTTTTATGCCACAGTGGTTTTCTCCAGACCCCTTCAGTGAGAAAGAAAGAGCATGTGCTTTGGGGCCAGAAAGACCTGGCTTGAATCCCTGTTATGTCTCATACCACCTCCATGGCTTTAGGTAAGTCACTCAATTCTTTAAGCATTAAATAGGAGTAAGACTTTGATTTCAGACTTAGAGATAATGCATTTACAAAGTACTGATACATAGGATGGCACATTGCAGATATTTTTGTCACCATTTTAATCATCATTACTATTTTAAGCCAGAACCCCTTCCCTCCGAGAGCCTGCACGCCATCTGGTTGAGAAGAGACAGTTTGGACAATTTAAAAGGTTATTATCAAGGCAATGTGATCTCATGACTAAAATGGGCGATCTGGGCAGCAAAGACTCCGGGGCTCAGAGAAAGCGCCTGGGGCGTTCTCAGTCCCATGGATGGTCAGCTCGCCTCTTCCTCTGCCGGGCACACTGGATTCTCGTGCAGTAGCCCTGACTTACTGGCTTGCTCTTGGAGTCTTGCTCTGTGAGTTTATTGCCGAAAACACCTGGCACTGAGCAGCGCCTGCCTCTTTGCAGGTGTTCAGTTAAGGTTTGTGTGCTGAATCTTTGAGACCCACAAAGAGAGAGGCTCTTTCTCTTGGTTATGGTCTCTCTCTCCATCCAGGGACCAACTCAGGCCTGGGGAGTGACAGCCATATTGTGAGCAGCCTCCCGGCAAACGAATATGGATTCTTAATTCTAAAACCAATTTCCAAATACGTTCTAGAAGGGCACACAGAAATGAAGCCTGCGCCACAGAGTTAACACGGCTCCCTTCCAACTGATGGCAGGAGACAGAGACACAGGGCAGCCTAATGAGAACTGATGAGGATATTCTGTCTGGGGATAATGGCAAATGTAAAACAGTGAAACCTCAGCCTCCCCTTCTGGTCGCTGTCAGATTTGTGTAATAAACCTGCCCTCATGCGCACACACAGATACACATCTAGTAAAATTCAATTCCCCAGAGAGTCTGACCAAGGCAGTGCCCACCCTCTTGTTTTTAACAATAATATTTTCCATTTAATCTCTCCTAGAATATTTGGAGGTTTTTGTCCATTTCAAACTCAAAGGAAAAAAATTAGCATTTAGATAGGATTGCACCAGCATTAAAATCAATTGAAATGGAAACGGAGATCACGGGAGGGTTGAGATGCCTGGAGTTTTTTTTTTCCCATGGGATGATGCTGATATGACATTCAGGGCGCCCAGTGAATCCCTCTGTCACTGTCAGTGATAATCATATGCACTTGGATTTGTCCCCGGTGCCTCCTTCTCACACGTCTTCCTCTCCAAGTCTCCTGAGGATCACATTTCTCAGAAGAAAGGCCCCTTCAAGCTCCTGCTTCTCCTTCGGCAGAAATAATCGATGCAGAGGAGACACGAGGCATATAAATGGTCCTTTCTCTCCAGGACATAGAAACATGGACTGCCACTTGCTTGTCCTTGGATTTGAAATGCTCTCTCTAGATTCTTTGCCTCATCCCAGCCTCCACATTAACACACACTTTTTCCATCACACCCTCAACCTTCCCTAACTCCAAATTCCAGACTCTTCCTGCAGCCTCTGTCTCTCCAGACCTAACCAGTTTTGGTCAACTCTGGTTCCAGACCCCAACGGGATAACCTGGAGGGCACACTGACCACATGGGTTCCATTTCTTCAATAAGAGATGTCTTAATGGGGTGAGGAGCAGGGATATAGCTCAGTGGTAGAGTGCATGCTTAGCATGCACAAGGTCCTGGGTTCCATCCCCAGTACCTCCACTGAAAAAATAAACAAACCAACCAACCTAGTTACCTCTCCCCAAATAAAAAATTTAAAAAAGAGAGATGTCTTAATAAAGAAGCACTACACTTGTATATGATTCTTGTGTGAGCGAAACAGATCCACCTCCTAATTTACCTCATCGAGTCCTGTCTGCTGCTTGTTTGGGGACAGTTTCAGGATCTGTCAGCAGCATTCAGAAGGTTCCATAATCTGGTATATTGCTGATGATATTTGCTGGTGCTGAAGTCTGGAAACAGACTGACATCCACACTGACTTTGCTGCATTCAGAATGTTTGTTGCCCTCGGGGCTCCTGATGAGCCATATTCAGATTCTTCCTTATTTTGCCTTTCGCTGCTGCTCTCCTGGACCCGCCAGACCACGCGAGTGAGGCCCCTTTAGTGCTAATGTCTGTGTGTAGTTGGTGTTTTCTGGTCTTGCAAACCCATTTCTCAAACTCCACACATTCCTCCCAGCTGCTCGTCAGTGTTCCCTTCCTGAAGGTGCAGCCTGCTGGGCCCTCCTGTGCGCTTATGTCCACGGCTCCCCCTCCCCTCCCCCTTCACCCCCCCAGCCCCGCAACGTCCGGCTGCCTCCCATTTCCATTCCAGCCTGAGTCTGTCCCTGATGTCCCTTTGTATCTCTCCACCCTCTCCACCGGTAACCTCTGATTCTTTTCTCCCCCAGGAAGATGACTTGAACGGGATCCATATTGTGGCCTTTGCAGAGAGGAGTGACCCAGGTAGGAAACCCCTAGTCTTACCCTGTGCACCTTTAATGAAAACTGACTTCTCACCTTTGTTAGCCCCCAACCTCTTTTCCTCCACTTTCCTTCTTCTGCAACCGCCAGATATAGGGCGCCCCCTGGTGGTCGCATGTCGGATATGACTCCAATTTCAATCGTGCGCCCAGCTAAGAGAACGTGAGCCTCGTTCTGCCTCGCTGTCCAACTAGGAAAAAAACACCGAGTACTGGGGATATCAAACATCCTAACTTTATAGGATGTGTGTATGCATGTGTGTGTAACCGTCTGTCCACACTTAAAGTTCATTTACCAATTTTAGGATCTAGCCCATATGAATTACAATCCTACCTTAAAATAACAATTATGTACCCTTTGGTCTGCAAAATACTGTCTGCGCTTAGGAAACTACATAGAAAATATTCCTCCAAATAATGAGAACTGGGGGAATCAAGCAGTTTATTTCGAAAGTGCAAAATGACCCTATAAATGGAGGTGTCACTTTGTTTTATTTTGGAACTTGGACAACTTCTTACTGGTTTCACTCTTTTTAATACCAGTGGAGAGTGAAGCTCAGGAAGAATTAATTTTGCAGGTGGTAAAATGCCAGGTCCCTTCAGCAGCGTGCTGTGAGAAAGGGTCCCCGAAGGGAAGTGGAGGTGGCAATTCTGAAGTGTGTTTTGGAAGCCCTGGGACAATCCAAAGGGTGACCAGAGAAGGCAGAGAACTTCCATTAGGATGGCTAAGCAGCCAGGCTTTGGGCTAGGAGGTGCCTGGGCAGGGGTTCCCAACCTGGCCAAAGCCGCCTTGGGCAGACTGAAACAGGACCTTCAGACACCTGTCAGTTCACGGGACTTTGAGAGGAGTGCTGATGCACCATGAGGTTTGGGAACTACTGCTCCAGGTAAGATACAATTGTCTGGTATTTGCTTAGGGCCTCTGACTCATAAATTTATAGGGACAGACGAGGAAACAGAGGGTCAGAGAAGCTCCACAAAGTGCCTGAAATGGCATGATGAGTTAGTGGTAGCCCATGAAGGAAGAACTGATTGTATCATTCATCAATATATAACTGGTTCCTCCACATGCCTTGACACATAGTGGGTGCTCCATAAATGCTCACAGGCAGATGATTAGACAGGCAGATGACTGGCCAAGGCTGAGCCCAACTCTTCACTGTCTGACTAGTTGTTTGTTTTTGTTTTTGTTTTGGGGTAACACACTATCAGCCTCCACAGTTACTTACAGACTGAAACCCAAATGCGGGTATTATGCAATTTTTAAAATTGAGATATAATCTGCATACCATGATATTCACCTTTTTTTAAGTGTGCAGTTCAGCGGTTTTTAATATATTCACAAAGTTGCACAAATATCACCACTATCTAATTCCAGAACCTTTCCATCCCCTCAGTAGGAAACCCCACACCCATGAGTGGGCACTCCCATTCTCCATTCCCCCACCCTGTGGAAACCACTAATGTACTTTCTGTCTCTATGGATTTGACTATTTTGGATATTCCATATAAATGAAATCATGTAATATGTGGCCTTTGGTGCTTGGCATCTTTCACTCAACATAATGTCGTCTTTTTTTGGTATTTTTTTCTGTGGGGGGGCGGTGAGTCAGTTTATTTATTTATTTATTTTAATTGAGGTACTGGGGATTGAACCCAGGACCTCGTGCATAGTAGGCACACACTACTACTAAGTTATACCCTCCCTGCCCCCCATTTTTTCCCTTTCCCTTGACGAGGTACTGGGGATTGAACCCAGGACCTGACGCACGCCAAGAACGTGCTCTACCACTGATCTATACCCTCCCCACTAAGGTTTTCAATATTCATCTATATGTGGCATATATCAGTAATTCATTCCTTTTCAGAGCCAAATAATATTCCATGTATCCAAAACAAAATTATGCTCTAAATCATCTTCCCCCATTTTGTATTAAATATTTTGACTATCCATTGACGTCCCAGTTTTCCCATCACTGACTTGCAGATTTGGAAAAACTTCAAGAATATCTAGTCTGTGTCCCAAAACAAAAAGCAAAAACCAAAAACCCAGTATGGTTCCAGCTTCTTTCCACAGATTCTGACCACCCCTCTGCCCCTGGAGAAGAAAACAGCAAAGGAAGCCAGTTGCCCAAGGTTTACAAGCTATAATCGAACAGCATCAGATCCCTGGTGTGGTGTGAAGAGAGACGAAATCGCCAGCAGCAGCAGCCTGCTGCCCAGACTCCAGGGGGCTTCCTCCCCCGCCCCACCTGCCCGCTCCCAGGACTGTGGGGAGGCCTGACTGGCTCTCTGGAACAATGGAACAAAGAGGCCTCCGAGAAGTTGCTGGAACCTGTTTGACCAAGATTGCTGCTGTAATGAATCAAACTTCTGAAACTACTTCCACCCCCTCCCTGCACAAATATCCCCAGGCCTGAAGCTGTGTCTTGCCCCAGAGGAGCCCAGGCTGGGGCTTGTTACTGGGAAGCTGGAAGGACTGTGCTGGGGGAGGGGTGGGGGTGGGGGCGGAGCTCACAGCATTTTTCTGCAGCGAGGAGGGGCCTGTCCTGCTCCCAGCTGGGAAAGCGAAAGGCTTTTCTGTGAAAGTCCCTGACTCTGCAGCTAGTCAGTCATTACCCGCGGGTCACTGATGTGTAACCCAGGGCCAAGGGGCCTGGTGGCAGGACTAGGAATGTCATTCCTGCCCAGACAGTCCTTCCTCATATACGTTGCTCTTGCTAACAAGCTACATGTAGCTCTTGGCCCCACCAAACCCCTACCTACTCACCAAAGGAAGCAGTTCATACATTCAGGAAAAGACTACAGCTCTCTCCTTAAAGAGCTAACAGTCTGGAGGAACTGTGCTGTGAGCTTTATGGAGATGGACTTACTTGGTTCCTAAAGCCACCTTTAATAATTTGTCATCCCAGCTCCAGATGAGGTAATTGAGTTTTAGGGGTTAAATGACTTAGCAAACCCCTTGCTGTACCCAAGCCAAGATTCAAATTCTAGCAGGCTTTCTTGACCTCTGGGTTCACCATCATTCTGATGAACATGAGGATGCCGACGACCTGCGGTGTGCTTGTGTAACATAACAACCCCATGTGGGAGGTGCTGGTTTTATTCTCATTTTACAACGGATGAAGCTGAGGCCCAGAGAAGTTGACTTGCTGGGAAGCAGTAGAGCTGGAATTAAGCTGAGGGCTGTCTGGCTCCTCAGCCACGCCCTTCACCTCAAGGCTCTGCTGCAGAAGTGCAAGCGCGCCCTTCCCTGTTGGAGTTACCACCCCTGAGGACACCTGAGTGATCCTTTAGCCAGCCCTCCTTCCTTTCGGCTGTCCTTTCAACATCTAAAAGACCGACAGTTCAGTGGCGCGCTGGAGATCACACGGTCGGAGCCACAGCAGACACATGAGCTAGGACTTCTTGGTGACTCCTCTGGGCGCTGTCCACCTGACAGCACTCCCTCCCCCAGGCTGCCCCGGCCAGCTGCAGGCTCTGAGCGTGCGCAACGCTGCTGCGGTGAATGGGGGTGGGGGAGCCAGAGAAAGGAAGAGGGAGTGAGAGGAGAGCAGAGCCACCTGGAAGCTCAAGAGCCCAATTAATGAAGAAAAGTCAAACTTCCTCCCCCTTGTCCACCATCAGTTCCTAGACTTTGAATCTACGACTGTGTAGCAGCAGCAGCAATTAACGAACCCCTCTTCGAGTGAGCCGGGCTCCCCAAGGGCTCTCCCCGCGGTCCCGACACTCCCAGCCGAGAGCTTGCGTTCAGGGGTTGCAGACAGTGTCTGCTCTCTGGCCCTGAGCGTAATCTCCAGGTCCCTTCTGCGCCGAGCTCTCATCCCCGCTGCCCGCAGGCAGGCGGGTCTGGGAAGGACATCCCGGCTCTCTGCTCTTGCCGGGTGCCCTGCGGTCCTGCCCGACTTCCTCTTCCACCGCCTCCCCTCCGCTCCTGCGCTCAGGATGCTGCCGGAGCTGCTGTTTGACAGGTTTGAAAAGGAGTCTCCCCTGCCGCCTCCAGATGTGTCTGCATCGGGCTGACATCTTCTTTATAACACTTGATGAAAGGTTCAGAGTGGCGTTTCTACATGAGCGCGCGCTGGATGGATATCCTCCAAGGGCAGGGGGAGTATTAGCGCTAACAAGCTGGAAACGCGGGCTGCCGTTGGCGCGAGAGAAGCACAGCCCGCGGGGGGCTCCCCGCGCACCTCTCCAGGCCCTTGTTCCAACCGAGTTTCAAGGGCCTCTGGCCTTGGTAAAATATTTTTGAGGCCAGTTGTCTCAAATAGGGATGCTAACTGCCTAGCTGAGCTTCCAAATTTAAACTTGAATTGTTACATTTAACATTCGGTTCTTGCTAAGTGCTAAATGTGGTTCGAAGCACTTAAATAGCAACACATTTAATCTTGACAGCAGCCCTATGGTTGTAGGCGGTAGGCACTGTCATTATCATCTTCCCCGATGTACAGACAAGGAAACAATCAAACAATCGTATGAAGAAGTTAAGTAACACCCCCAGGTCACACAGCCAATCAGGGGTGGAACTGGGATTCGAACCCAGGCAGTCCAGCCCCAAGCCTGGGCTCTGTAACCACCACTTACTCTCCTCTTCATCACAGAACCATGCCGTTTAACTTTTCCACCAATTCTGGGTCCTGAGCGCTGGGCGAGAGAGCAGAGGAGGGCTGCAGTAAGGAGTGGCAGGGTGTTTAGATGTCTCAGGTGCCATCTCAGGACCATGGGGCTCACACACGGTTTCCCTGTTCAGGGTAGATGTCTCGCTCTAACAGGTGACCGCGTGACTCACCGTGTCAGGAAGGTGCTGTCATCCTTGTCTGTCCTCGGAGTCTGTACCCTAAGGTTCCCAAAGGGCCCAGTTTCAGATGCCACGTTGCTGCTCTCTGAGACTTTCATGCTTACTGAGTGGGCCTTTCTGAGGGGGCAGCTGAGGGCAGTCACCTGCCCCTACACACCCTTGTGTCCCAGCACCTGGCCTGGGCCTACTACAGGTGGACACTCAGAATATACCTGCCTGATGGTGACAAAATGAATCCCTCCCATTAATGAAGGATGAACGTCGTGAGAAACACTTATAAACAGACCATTGATGGGGTGAGAGAAAGAAAGAAGACAGAGAAGATCTTGGCAGTCTCTTTTGCAAGCCCCTCATGTGATAACAAAGCACCGTTACTACCAGAGGGCCTGCGAGGTAATGGGGTCGCTGTTCTCTCCATTTTCAGACGAGGAGATGGAAGCCCTAGAGAGGTTAAGGGACCAGTGCAGAGTTTTCAAACTAGACGGGTGCCCCCTCCAGATACAATCTCCCAGCTGCATGGTGCCTGCCCCCCCCCACCCCCGCCGACTTATCTGTATCATCTGTCACAGAGCCAAATAGCCTGGCTCCCCGAGCCTAGACCTGTCTCCAGGAGCGAGGCCCCAAGTCCCATAACTGCACGTGATGCGGTGGCAGGGAGGGTCTTTCAGTGCCTTTGTGCGGTGGGCACCGCCAGCCCAAGGCTGGGTCCGGAGGACGGGGCGCGGGCCCGGCATGCTGTGGGCCTGTTACTCCGGGGCCACTGCTTGGTCTGAGAACCACATGTCTGTGCCAGACAGGCCCTGGCTCCTGTCTGGCCTGGAACTGGTCCCCCAGGGCTGGTGCAGCCTCATTCCCACCAGGCCTCCCTGCCTGGGAAGGCGGAGGGCAGAATCAGCGGCTTCCCCTCCCACAAGGATGTGATTCCCAGAGGCCTCTCGCTCACCGTGGGAAACCTGGCCCAGCCAGGGCCCTCGGCCCAGGTCGTGGGATCTCAGGTCCAAGCTCGTGTGGCAGGGACGGCGTCACAGTTCCCACAGCACCGGCCCCTCTTCTTTACTTAGGGCCATCTCTGAGACTCCAGGCGCACTCAGGGACGTGCTGAGTGAGCCAATCAGGCTGTGGCCGGGGAGGGTGTGGCTCAGCTGTAGGTTAGAAAGAGGGGGCGGGACTTGTGGCTACTCAGGGGCGGGTAGAGGGGGCCCACCAGCCCCAGGCTGCACCCTGTGTGTCCCTGGGCCCCGCCTTGCTTCCCTTACCTGGAGGCTTTCACACTCTGCTGCCAGATCTCAAGCACAAACTTGAGAAAGAAGATGCAGCAGCTTTTGTAAGTGGGTGGAGACCTCACAGGCAAAGTGGATTGTGGAAAGGGCTCTGGACGTTCAGACCAAAGCAGACCCGGGTTAGAATCCTGGCTCTGCCCCTGGCTTGCATGTGATGCTGGGCAAGTCATGTTCTCTCCCTGTGTCTCAATTCCGTCCTCTTTCAAATGGAGGTAGTAAATTCTTCCTAATCTCCATGAAGACTACATGGGAAGGTTACATGCAAAAGTACTCAGTAGCCAGTAGCCAGTAAATGCTCAAGAAATACTCCCCAAATTAAGGTTGGACGATGTGATTGCAGACTTCCTGCATGTAAAGAACAATGTCCTGTGTGCATAAAGGAAGAATTTGAGAGATGGACTTCTTGAGGGAAAAAAGGAGATTTCAGTTATAGGCAAGAAAAAGACTCAGCTGTCAGGATTATTAAGTCTGTAGTGGGCCTTGAGGGAAGTCAAAGGGTCTCAGTCCTGGAAACATTCAAGAGAGAAGACAGACAGATGTTCTGGGTGAGGCGATACACCTGCCTGGATATGTGGGATGTTTGGGAGCCCTTTCTGGTTTGAGATTGGGTGCGTCTCAAAATAATAACCACAGAAAATAGTCCTGTAGTTTCAAAGGTGAAGGACCTGCTAGCCTACGAATCTCAGAATAATATTTCCTCCCCCCAGACTTGGCTGTGCTCCTCAGAAGCACAGGGAACTCGGTGGGACCTCCTTACAGACTTCTCTGCCCTCGTGCTCCTGCAACAGGGGGGGTCACTAAGAGATTCTGAGGTCTTCCCATTTTTCTGAGTTTTATTCTAAAACCGAACTTGGGTCCTCTACACGCGGGGATGCCCTGACACCATGGAGCTCCTGTCTGTGGCCACATATGCACACACGAGCTAGCTTTCGTGCACGTGCACGTGTACACACATACACGGGCACAGAGCTTATTCTCAGGGGCTTGTCAGAAGCTAAACTCTTTGTTTCTGCTTGGGAGTGGGGCGGGGATGCTGAGGGCTCAGGGTATGCTTTCTCTTACTGAACAGTCTTCCAAAATTGTTGCTTCTATCATGAAGTTTATCTTTCCAGTTCTTCAAGGTTTAGACTCTCTGCACTCTTGATGCTCAGAAGGCTTGTCTCTGCTTTTCTTATGACTCACCCCTCCCCTGGGGGTGATGAAGGCGGCAGACTGACTAGGGGGCTGGCAGAGCATACAGGGAAATAGTGAGAGAGGGAGGGAACCCCATTTACTATCTCAAAGCTATGAAACAAACCGTCAATCAGAGCTCACTTAGTTTGAAGGTTTTAGGAACTGTGGGTTGTAGAAAATTAAGGGTCCACGCTCAAAGTTCTTTGTCCATAGAGCAAATGTTATGGGGAACTATGAGGGATAGCAAATTATCCGTGTTAAGAGATGGCACAGAGCACTGAGGACCAGGCAGGAGTCGCTCTGCTCTGGGATTGCGTTTTCTGACTCCAGGCTGGTCAATTTTCACATGCAGATTAGCAAATGGAGCTTGACTTCGAGTTACAACCAGACACTTCCCTGTGAACTTTTAATTTCTTTATTCACCATGTTTATTGTTTCCTTTAAAGAAGCTACTTTGCGGCTAGGGTTCTCATCTGATTGATTATATAGAAAAAGCCTATAATTGAGGGTATGCACCAAATGGCCTCAGAACCCTTTGTAGAAAAATGGCCCTCTGCTCTCTGAGTTACTTAGAAGCCATGTGTGTGCAGGGCTTACTCGATCTTCTTGAACCCTGCTTCAGATGGTTACGAGTTCCTGGAGATCCTGAAGCAGGTTGCCCGGGACAACACCGACAACCCTGACCTGAGCATTGTGTGGATCGACCCCGACGACTTCCCTCTGGTGAGTGGCTCAGACTGGCGCCCCGTCCTTGGCCACTTACACAGTCTTGGTGTTTAGCATGAGACCTGGATGCATGAAGGAGGGTGTGAAGTAGGAGGGGCACTTGCAGAAGCCTCATGGCTGCCCCTATCCAGTGTGAGAGATCTTGGCCCCTGGTGCCACATGGAACTTAGAGCCTGGTGCCGACATTGATGTGGTTAGACTGACGGTTCTCACTCCCTGGAGACCACTCCGTGGGGCCCACTCAAGTGAGTTGGGTGAGAGTCTTCCGCCTGTGTCTCCATAGCTGCCCCTCCTCCCACCAGCACCCCTTACTATAACCGCTGTCATTTCCTGAGTGGGGACCATTGCTCTGAGGCAACCTAAGTTACTAAGTAATAAAAATTAGAGATGAACATTTTGCATAGAATTCAAAACTGCATGGAGAGAAGGAGCCAGAGGCCCCATCTGTCTTGTTCATCATGTTCTCCCAGGTCCCAACATAATATCTAGCACGTGTTGAATGTATAAGGACCTTAAAGCCCAGACTCTTGCTGGGTCAGTGATCAATGGCCAGAAAGCCGTAATTATGCTTAGTTTCAAAGAGAATAAACAGAATTTGTACAATACTTGCACCCAGTGGTAATGATAATGAACATGGCTAATGTACTCTCCCCTATGCCTGCAGCTATGGAAAGTTCTTTACTTGGACCGTCTAATCCTCTCAACAACCCTATGGAGTAGAGAATATTATAATCCCTTATAGGTGAAAAGAATGACAGCTGGCGAGATTAAAGCTGTAGGCTGTAGACACGATCTTCCCACCAGGGCCGTATGAGCCCGAAGCTTGCTCTGTTATTCAGTAGACTTTAGATTGACCCAACTGCTGATAATCAGTACGAGCTATCATTAGGATATAAATGATAACTCTGTCTTGGTTCCAGGAATTATCATTTGTTGCCTAGGTCACAACTGATCAAACTATGATTTAAATAGACAAAAAAAAAAAAGAGGGGATTTAGTGATCTCCAGGGTCCTGAAACCCATCCTACACAGAGGATGAATGAATCAAGGGTAGAAAATTCCATGTCACCTGAGGGCAAAGTCAGAAGTCTGGGAAACATGACAAAGTCATGGTCTCATAAGACTCTCTGTGTTATAGCGTTGTTTGGCTGCTGCCTGGTTGCATTTCTGGTTTACTGGGGCTGTTTTGTTATGCAAGCTTGCAGATGGTCTGCACTTCTCCTGACCTGTTCTACATGCTTGCGTTGGTTTTTGCAAAGGAGAAATCTTCAGACTGTCCTGATTTCCAGGTTCCTGATTATCCCCAGTCCCCATCAGACCTTAGATTTGTTCGGGAGACCTTCTACCACTGAACGTCTCCATTTCCTTAGCCCCATGGCCCTCCTCCTTTAGTCGGGCCCCAGTCAGAGATCAGTCCACATGGAGCCCAAGCCGGGCTGGATGAAGCCCTCTTCTCACTGTGCGCCCACGTGGGACACATCCCTGCTTTCCCAGCCATCTCATGCGCAGAGTGGCACAAGGGAAGGGATTTTTAGGTGGGACACTGAAGGAGCGGTGGAGGGAAATGGCTCTCTCACCACACATACCCCATAAAAGAGCCACAAGTAATCTGAGAATCAGCTTTGGACCATCTCTGTAATCTTCCTCACAGCTGTAGAAGCTTTTCTATTACATACTTTCTTTTTTTTTAACTATTTTTTATTTGTATTTATTAATTCATTTTACAATTGTTGTGTTCAAATTCCAGTGTAGAGCACAATTTTTCAGTTATACATGAACATACATATATTCATTGTCTACATTTTTTTCTCTTGTGAGCTACCATAAGATCTTGTGTATATTTCCCTGTGCTATACAGTACAATCTTGTTTATCTATTCTACAATTTTGAAATCCCAGTCTATCCCTTCCCACCCTCTGCCCCCTTGGCAACCACAAGTTTGTATTCTATGTCTATGAGTCTATTTCTGTTTTGTATTTATGCTTTTTTTTTCCCTTAAGTTTCCACATATGAGCGATCTCATATGGTATTTTTCTTTCTCTTTCTGGCTTACTTCACTTTATTACATGCTTTCATAGTTTGTATTCTGACATCTTTTCTTCGTGCTTATTTAAAGTGCTGAGCGCTGGGGCCACGTCTTCAGTTTCCTCGGTGCCCACAGCTGTTTTGGAGACCTTGAACGAGTGGTGACCTAATTTCGGCGCTGGGTTGGCAGGTGGGTCCAGCCACAAGAAGTGGCTTGCACAGTGACTGCCTGCATGTCTAATTTTATTTTTTGTTGCTGCAGCTTGTTGCCTATTGGGAAAAGACCTTCAAGATTGACCTCTTCAAGCCACAGATCGGGGTGGTGAATGTGACAGATGTGAGTACACCTCATGAACGCTCCTCAGATACCCTCAGCCTGCCCTGTTGTCTGCCAGGCAGCCCAGACTGTGAGATCACATGCAGAAGTCCAGCCCCGCATGAAATGGGCAGGACCCTTGGCTCTGCCCACGCTCAGGGAGATCTGCCACCGGGGCCCAATCCTAGTCTCTGAGCCAGTCCCAGCCAGTGGTTCCAGGGTTCTCTTCCATGAGCCCATTCCCTTGCTTATGGGGCCAGCTCAGCTTGCTTTACTGACTGGAACTTTCTACTCAAGTAAACTCTCCTGTATTTTCCTCCAAAGCCCAATGACAAAGTCTCTTTACACAAGAGAACTCACATTGGGAGTTGGCATGGTTCAGTGGGTGATGGGGCAGCAGAAGCCCCTGCTGGCAATCACCGTTGTGTGTTAGGTTTACTTATTTTTTATTTTTAGAGGAGGTACTAGGGATTGAACCCAGGACTTTATGTATCCTAAGCATGAGATATAACACTTGAGCTATACCCTCCCCCACTGTTTATTACTATTAATTTTAAAAGTAGTTTGCAAAATAAATAAATACAGAATTTCCCAGGTGACTGAACATCTACCAACAGGGTAAAAGGACATTGCTAACTGGCTATATATATAAAATGGAATATATATATGCAAATATACATATATATGCAGTGGAATACACATTTCCTTTTATATTGCACAAACAGGATACTACACATACCATTCTGCAACGAGGCGTTGCCATTTAACAACGTGCACACAGTCCTGATAAGTGAAAGTGACCTGGGGCCCTCAGCACGGCTGCTTGGAAGCCCCTGGTCTGGCTGATCCTTCACTCACTCCCACACGCACACACTCACACGCTCTTTCTGTCTCTGTTGCAGGCGGACAGTGTCTGGATGGAGATTCCAGATGATGATGACCTGCCCACCGCTGAGGAGCTGGAAGACTGGATTGAAGATGTGCTTTCTGGAAAGATAAACACCGAGGACGATGACAACGAAGACGAGGAGGATGAAGAGGATGACGACGACAATGACGATGACGATTCCGACGAAGAAGATGACGACAGCGATGACGATGATGAATAGCCCCCAAGCCCGATGATTTTCATGAAGACAGAACCACAGCTACCCACTACCATGCCGGCAGCACAAGGTAGCAGCAAGCAGCTTCCAGCCCGCGTCCGGCCAGCTCCCTTCCCTTTTCCAGCATCCCCCCCCACCCCCCACCCCCCCGCCCTTCTCATCAGGAGATGTGCAACTCAGCAAATGCCTTTCTAAATCCAGCAGTCTCACTCAGCAGGGACAGTGGGGAATTATTCCCAGGTTGACTGCCTTGATTGTCATGAAAAAGCTCTTGTTTTTTGCCAGACCACCAGCGGTCACGGCAGTGCGGGCATCTGGCAGTCTGGGGAGAGCAATCCCCTAACACCTCGACTCAAGTTTCCTTGTTGTCTTTGACTCTGACAGTAGCAAAATTCACAGCTTGCTAACTCACAAGCGTGGTGTGACCTTATAATCAGAGCCCAGGGAAGACGCAATGATTCGTTTAGCTCTGATGCCTAGAGTATCAGTTAGAATCCCTCCTCAAGCCTACAGGATCCCTCTTAGGGATGACTCAGGCTTGAAAACAAATCAGCTTCTTTTGGTTCTATTGGACTTACAATTGAAGGGTAGGTCAGACCATGATAAACTCACATCCAAGCCTTAAGCAGCTATTGAGAGGTCTTGAAATACGTGCTTACTGATTTCACCATCATTTCTAGTAAATGAGGGTACTGGGATGGGAGGTTGATTTGCTCTCTGAACTTGCCTCTGGGTGACCGTCTCACATTTACACGCAAGGGCCGGGGGAGCTGGAGGGATTAAGGGGTTTTAATTATTTCTGACGGCGTTAGGTCTCTGACTGGGTCACCTGGTGTCCTCCTCTGAGCTGCGATCTGGATACCCCTTCTCTGTCGCTGCTAGTGAGTCTTCCCATTCAGAGTAAAGGTTGGTTTGTCCAGAGGGCAATGAACTCTCCATCTATCAACACTCCCACAGTGGAGCAGGGCAACAATAATTAGAATTCATGATGATGCCCCGAGGCACTAAGAAAAGCCCCAAGTGCCTTCTGAACTCTCTAGAAGTTATATTGTGCTTGGTAGTTTTAGCGTTAAGTGTGCATTATAATGTTCTAATTTATTTTCTCAGTCTTTTAATACATGTGTAAGACACTGCAAATTCTTTGAAAACAGGGCAGTCCTTTTTTGGAATAGTAGCTAACTCTGCCATTAAAGTTATATTTTGAAAATACTGAGATTATCTTGAAAATCCTCTCTTGATGTTTTGATTCTGCTCATTTGCTCTTGGCTCCGGCTCTCTCTCTATTCTGTCTTCTTTTTTCCCTTCTGGGCCCTCTTCCTTCCTTTAAATGTTAGTTTTCCCTCGTATCTCCCAGCTCCAACATTCTTCCAAGGTAGTGTCATTCACACCCATCAGCTGATGGCTTCCACGTCTGGGTCTCTAACCTTGACCTCTCTCCTTAGTCTGAAACTCACTCACTCAAACAGCTTCTGGGATATCTTGGTTTGGATGGCGCACAAGCACTTCAAACAACAGCCCTGCACGCAAACTCATTACCTTTTCCCCTAAACTTCTCCTCCTCCTGGAGCCCCAGTTCAGATGAGTAATGTCACCATCCATCCAATGGCCTGGGTGATCTGGAGGGACCCCCTTCTCCTCTGCACCTGTGGCATTTTGTGCACACCCCAAATCGTGGCACTCACCATTTAAATTATAACACACATGTGCACTTCTGTCCTTTCACTAAATTGCGGGCTCCTTGGAGACAAGGAATTTACTTACCTTTGTATCCCCAACACTTAGCACTTTCTCAGCATGAAGTAGATACTCATTTACTGAGCTGATGGGTGAATAACTGTTTGATCAGCACTGCTGGTTAACAGTGCTTCCAAGTCTCCTTTTTTTTTTTAATCTCTCTGCCTCACAAAACAAGGCAGATGCTTCCTGAGCCGGGTTCCGTGTTATCCAGACAGTCCCAACCGTATCTCAAATAAGCTCTTGGAGGAGTGAATTTTCAAAGTCATCTTTGAAGTTAATCTTTCAAATAGCCAAGGACTGAAAGTGGTCTATTTCCCAACCCAGGAAAATCCCCTGGTTCTCAGAGGCCTGAGCGATATGCATCAAGTTGAAATCATGCCGTGGTGCTCCTGTGGGAGAAGCCCTGAGTGTTAAGCTAGCTCTATCTGTGAGGGGTAAGGAGTAGAACTGTTTAGTTACTGATCTAAAACCTCTTCAGCTGATATTTATTGAAAATGTGCTATGTGCTCCGAGAACCATGCTGTATGTTTTATGTATATTATTTCATTTAATTTGTATAAAGATCTTATGAGATGGTTTTGTTATTGTCCCCCTTTTACAGATGAGGAAACTGAGGGAGGCACAGAGCCCTCGAGTGATTTTTCCCAGGGTCATGAAAACACTTTAAAGGATGTAAATGTAACTTCATTTTCATACTTACATCAAAGATTTAAACTAAATTCCTTAAATTAAGCAATCAAAGGATTCTATTTCTTTTCCTCAGATAGTGTCCCAAGATGGACTGAAGTGAATTTCTCATAATCCTTTTTACTGCTTACGCCAAGATGCCTTTTCCCTTTCATTCTGCAGGGCACTGATCACTCACACAGTATAGGAATGTAAGCTAAATAGAATGGCAAGATCTGGCCATCCTCTTAGGGGAAAAAAAAGTTCATTGTGTTATCAAGAATGCATAATCACATTCAATGTATTTCTTTAGAATATCGTCTCATAAGTTGAAATGAGCTTGTCTTCTCTGTAACAAGGTCATGTACTGTCCAGTCCTAGTTTGTATGGCCTGAAGCCCATTGTTAACAATGTCACCAGTCATGGATCATTATCAAGTAGCTTTTGATCAACAGTCTCGGATACTCCCAGACACGCACACATCCCTGGCATGCTGGTGGTCCTGCGGTTCTGTCCTTGAACGTCTCGCTCTCACCAGGCTCCTCCACCCTGCTCGGTGAGCATCAGAGCTTATTTTAGAAAACACAGACGCCTGTCATCAGCCCAGACCTATGGATATACCATCTCCAGAGCTGAGGCCTGACCATCTGCATTTTAACAAGAGTCACTGGGTAAACGACAAGGTACTACTGTAGAGCACGGGGAACTATATTCAATACCTTGTAATAGCCTATAATGGAAAAGAACATGAAAAGGAATATATATATATCTGAATATATATATAACTGAATCACTATGCTGTACACTAGAAATTAACACAACATTGGAAATCCACTATACTTCAGTTAAAAAAAAATCACCAGGAACAGATGCAAGCCAGCACCAAGCCTTGCTCTTCCCACTCCCCCAGTCATCTCATACACCCCGTGGCTTCCAGCCGTCTGCCTCTCGCCGGGCCTGTGCTGAGTTCCAGGCCCCTCAATCCAGCTGTCTCCCCCGACAGCTTCACCTGGATGTCTCACAGGCCCCTTAGACCAGCACAGCTGTGTGGCTCTAAAGGGCGGGGGGAGCTTATTAAGAAAGTAGCTCTCTTTTCCTGACTGAGATCTGAACCAACCAAGAAATCAGGTCCCAAAGTCAGCAGTCCAAAACATCACCATTATTACAGAAAAGCAACAGCTTGGAGACTAGAGATTAGGAGAATGGGCTTCCCAGTCTCCTGCATCCCGGGGCGTCAGATGTGCAGACAGGACCCTTGCCCTCTGCACAAGGATGGAGAGGCCAGAGACAAGGGCTGCACCTCCCACAATAACTTCACCTTAAGAACTTCACTCAAAGAAACATGGACAGATGGCTGTCACCCACTAACCAGGTAACTCATGCCATCTCAGGACAGGAACAAGGGCTGGGCAAAGGGCCAGCAGTTTGGGGACAATCCTTCACAGGAACAGAGTTGTGGGGAAGAGGCATTGCCCTCTGACAATGTCCCAGCCAGAAACCTGAGAGCCGTTTCCTTGTCTCCCACTCCCACATCCAATAGGGAGCAAGCCCTGTTCTGTTTTCTTCATCCACTCCTAGTGCATAATTGAAGCTTTACAGTCTCTCAGCTGGGGAACCACGGGCTTCTGACTTCTCTTCCATCTCCACTCCAGCCTGCGCCCTGCAATCAAGTGATGTCTAAAATGAAAACCTGATCATGTCACACACATGCTTAAAATCCTTCATTGGCTCTCTATTCCCAATAGATGTTTAAACAATTTCAAAGACTGTGGTTACCAGCAGGATAGGGAGGGTGGGGAGGGATAGATTAGGAATTTGAGATTTATAGATACACATGGTTATATATAAAACAGATAAACAACAACCTACTGTATAGCACAGGGGACTATATTCAATATCTTGTGACGAGCTGTAACGGAAAAGAATCTAAAAAATATATATATATATATGTATGTATATGTATAACTGAATCGCTTTGCTGTACACATGTAACTAACACTATAAATCGACTAAGCTTCAATTAAAAATAAGAATTAAAAAAAAGACAAAGAGGCCAAAGAGTAAGTGGTTTGGAAGGTTTCTGACAGCCAAATGTGGAGTCTAGGCTGCGGGGTATGAGGTTGGGAAGGAAAAACGAGGTAGTCCTTGAAGCGTCTCTCCTCCGCAAGAGGAAAGCAAAGCCTGAGAAGTGCTGCTGCTTGCGCTACCCAGGCTCAGGGGTTAGAAGGGCACTGGGCCAGCTGGGGTGATTCCTGCTGCACACACGGGGCGTCCGTCTGGGAATGATGGCGTCCGAATGCCTTATGTGGGTCATAGCACCCAGTTGTTATTTTAGCAGAAGGTGGGCCAGTACCACTGCCAATGAGCTGGGAAGTCAAGGCCACTTTGTCATGGGGTAAAGCCAGTTTTCTCTGCAGGACACTGGAGGTCCACATGAACTGTCTCTTCCCTACCTTACCATCCTCATTTCTCACAGAGCCTCCCACACCCATCTGCCCCTCCACTCCTAGAACCTGAAGTTGGCTGAAGCTGCCTGGCTGCTTAACGCCTCCAAGCCTTGGCTCATGCTGTTCCATCTCCCAGAATGCTTGTCCTCCCCCATCTGTGCCTGCTGGGCAAGCTCCCAGCTATCTTACTTTAAGCATAAGGTTAAGACGCACTCTGTGACTCTCCTCCCGTCGCGCGCCAGGCAAATTGGCCACCTCCTCTGCTGAGCGCTCACAGCACCCTGTGGATTTCTCTTACAGAATAGGCAACGTGTTGTACTTGAAAGTGTGTGTCTTCCTCCCATTAGTCTGAAAGCAACCTCAGGGAAAAGACTGACTCATTCTGTTCCATCCTCAGTGCCTACATGCTGATTGGTACTTAATAATAAATCTTGTTTGACTAAATACTCTAAGTTCTATGCAAAGCTAATTTAACAACTATTAGTACCATTAAGAATGTGCTAGTGATTACCGAAAGCCAGTCTTATTCCAAGAAGTTTTTGGCAACATGGTGTCATCTGTTTGGACTTGCTTGGGATAGCAAATTGCTAATGAACTAGGAATGCGGAATCTCCTTGGCTCAGTGAGGTTTCTGATGTGAGATGCTCTCTTTCCTCGAGTTAGCAAAGACTCCCCAGGAACAGGGCCATCGTGATGGGAAGCAAAGCAGTGTGGAATGACAGCAGAAGTCTCAGACCCCATTCTCTGGGAATGGAATGAATACAGCCACCTAAATGTCAGTGCACTTATTTTAATGCATCTATGGACCCAAGTGGGTGCAAGGTGAATTAAGGCCCTTTTTGAATTAATCTGGTATTTTATCAATCTGAACTCTTTAGAGCATGATAGCTAGGATTCTTAATGATAGCCCCAGAACCCCACAAATATCAACGATTTCCCTTAAAATAATCCTGCATGATTAGGGTATCCCCAGCAGTTTTAGCATTGGGTGTGCTGCTACGTCCTCACTCATTCATTCCCTCATTCCAGTATTCTATCAATGGACCCTTAAGGCTGGTTCCCACATGCAGATCACAGAAGGCAGCACTGAGTGGGTAACACAGGAGAGCTGAGCAAGGATCTCGGAGAGGAAAAGTGTTTAAAGCCTCTGTGTCAGTTTTGCAAGTGCATCATCATTTTGTCCGAGACATTGTGAATTCTCAGAATTTATCAGAAACATGCTCAGATGTACAGACAGAGAACACGCCCAGAAGACAAATACAGTTTTGACATCATTAGCTTGTATAACTAGAAGATGCTGCATGAGACTCATAGGGAACTAGCATTTCTCTTGAGCAGGGATACTGCCCATTCCCACACTGCTGCATATGGGCCTTGTGCCTGGCCCTGGGCAAGCGGACAGTGGCTGTAGCTGGTACCATCCTGATATCCCCCACGCCACTTCCAAAATTCTATAGCTGTATCATGGGTAATGAATGAAAAAGAGAAGCATCTTCGGTTTATGTCTGCATACACTTTAAATTTTTTCTCTAGTAGGGTTTGCTTGTGCGGGTGTAAATTGTGCCCATCTTGGCTGATGGCCCAGGAAAATGGAGTTCATCAATAATCTATCCAATGAACTTCAAATCAGCTGCTTTTTCTGATCCTTGTCAGGGCAACAGGTAAGAATTTGATTGTGTGCCATTGGCACCAGTAAAGGATAGCTGAGTGTAGCAGAAGGCAACTCCAATATGTCTTTGTCAAATAATCAAGTTTCCTTTAAATAGACCTGTCTAAAATCAGTCAATAATTTAAGTTGAAAAGATCTTTCTTCACTTGCTGATTTAGTCAAAAGGCCTTTTTCACCTCCAAGTTTTACAGCCTGAGAATTTAATTTTCAGGAATCTATTAATTCAAAACATTCTCTTGGCCATCAAATGATTGCAACCTGTAATTTTTGTTACAATGGCAATTCCACTTTCCCGGTCAATCTATCATTATAATTGTCTTGGTTTTCAGAGAAACTTGACAGGCTATTTTTAAGAGGGTATCAAAATTATGCAAGAGTGAAAATGTTCCCTAAAAAGTAAAACTTCTTAGGTGGAAAAAAAATCACATGGGAAAAAAGGAACAAAGTGCAATTTGGGATTTCAGTTTATTTTCCAAGTCTTACAGTATAAAAAATGTAACATGTAAAACGTTTTACAGTTAATTGGAATGGGAGTCCCAGAAGAGAACAAAACAACTTGGATGCCAGGTACGCTTTGCCCCTCACAGACTCTAACAACATTGCTGCTGATGTTACAATGGGTTTCACAGCCCACCTTATGAGTGTATGTAAATGAACTTGAGCAGATGGTTGCTGGTAGTGAAATTCATTCATTCATATGATTGCAATGTCTCAATAGAGCCCACCACCCAGTTTAGGCAGGAAATCACAGCCAACTTTGTCAGACCTGTCTAGTGATTGTGAGTTTTGCTAACCAGCAAAACTGCCCCTCCTGATTACAAAGTGAGGTATGAACTAGTAAGAGAGAACACAAAAGACCCTCGGCCACATCTTTGCACAAACACTTATCGCTCCATCCGATAGAGACAGATGGTTTCGTCACTGAACTTGCTGGGTTGATACCGGATCCTAAATCCAGAACCAGAAATGTAAAATTCTTTCAACACAAAAGTGACTGTCAAATAAACTCCCCTTGAAATAAGACCTGGTCCCAGCCTCTCCAGTCTTCTCCCTAGCATCTTCGTTGAGGAAGTGGTCATCACAACTCGAGTTAATTCATCATCCCAGTGAGCCAGTCTCCATTTCCGCCCTCATCCTGGCTGGTGCATCCTGCACTCTACACACTAGTTGTCCTCATAAAACAATTGCTTGGAAATCACATTTTGTTAATCACGTCATAGTCTAGGAGTCTCAGCAGAGTTTGCAATTTAGTTAAATCCTACTGTGAATCCATTACAAAAATAAGGAGTTATCAGCAAAGTTTGAATTTTATTATGTCCTTTCTTGTTTTTAGAATGATGATCCACACTAAGTGAATCATCATTCTATTATGTCTTTAATGGTGCAGGGTGGCGCTGGGAAATGAAAAGTGACCGCCACCTCTTCCCAGCTGCCCCCTGGAATGGTGATAAGATGTAACTGCCTAAATTCCTTACCGCATGAACTGAACTAGACTTGACGCCTGCAGGGCAGATGCTGGGGTCCTATCACTAATTCCCTGAGCCGTCTCTGGTCCTCAGAGATGAAGCTTCCCAGGGTGAGGGCTTTTGGGGGTTTAAAAACTCCTAAAGGATGAGCTCCTTCAGAATGAAAGCTCTTATCCACAAGAAAGCTCAGATAAATACAAGCAAATACAAAACCAGATACTGCACATTCAAATATCTTTATCCAAATATAATTTCAGTACCCAAAGTGCCAAAGACACTCAAGATAAAAGCCTGAGGGTTGTCACATTTGTCCCCAAGGTTTCAGATAAGAGTGTTTTTATCCCACTAAAACAAGGACGAAACCCTGATGTTTTCAAGCTGAAACAGACAAAGCAGCTGCAGATTCCTGGCGCCACATTGGCAGCAACAGGTCCCCGTGCTGCTGCAGGTGTTAGAAGTCTGCTTTCGTGTCGCGGAGACTCTACAACAACCCACTGAAGAGGATGAGTTTACAGGTGAAACAACAAATTGGGTAATCAAAAATAGAAACGGGACAGGTCTGGTAAAAGGGACTCAGAGTCCTAGAATCTAATTTTATTCAGTAGTTTTACATTTCTTACCCACCCTTTGAAAATGTGTCCTGCTCAGTCCTAAGAAGCAGCCATGCTGAGAGGTGGGCATGCCATCTCCCTTTCCCACTCCTCCACTGAAAGCACACAGCGCGAGATAAAAAGGTAGCTTCCGCACAACTGAACCAAAAACTAAAGACACTGGAAGAGAGGAAAGCAGTGTTTTCAGAGTCCTGCTTTATGCCTGTTGATTCAAACTCTTGAGGGCAAATGTCGGGGCAAATAGCAGGAGGCAAAAGTCAAGGATGGAGACCAGGGACTCCTGTTCCAAACCTACGGAGGCTGGGCTGGCAGGCAGTCCCTCTCCCTCCCCAACCAGGGAAGCTCTTGTGGTGTGACACTGACAAAGCACCAGGCAGAGTAAACCGCAGGTCATGGGGAGGCCAGGTCAGCCCCTGCGCACCTCCCCAAGGTGCACACCTCCCCAAGGTGCACACCTCCCCAAGCCAGCAGGTGGGAGCGGAGGGTGGGACGGTCAGAAGCAAAGGGTAGCTGCCAGGAATAGAGCTCCTGAGTCTTAGAGCAGGTGCAGAACTAGCAGGGCTGGTTTTCCGGGGAGGGTGGGGGTGGGAGTAGGGGGAGGCTCAAGTTCTTTCTGCTGAAGATCCTGAGCAACCTGCGAGCACATGGAGCAGCTTTCCCTGGGCCACACCTCCGACACAAACCCAAGTGAAAGGACAGGAGCGACTCCCCCTCCCACGAACCTCCAACTCTGGGTTCTACACATCAAGGCTACGCGTCCTCAAGTCCCTCTCCCACATCCAAAAACATCGAATTATTTGGGTAATACCTCAAGGCACAGTGACTGAGTGTTGGAAGCAAATATTAGATTTGAAGTTTCTGTTACTAGCCAGGAGATTTTCGGCAAGGCCTTCCCTCTCTGACCCTTTCTCCCACCTGTAAAATGGAAATAACTCCTACCTTACAGGAATTCACATTCTAGAGCAGTACCTAACATAAAATACCTGATAAAAGTGTCTTATTACCCTTCTCTTCCTTCTTTGACCAAAATATGTTTTGTCAAAAATGTGATCCAAAATCTAATTTTCTGGGCATCCACTTGGTTGATGCTCAATATGGTGATTTCAATGGAGCATCTAAAGTGCCTTCCTCACTGCTGCACTGAATACCATTCAAAACTGTGCTATGGGCTTCAGAACAACTCATATTTTATTTATAATGGATTATGACCTCAAGGTTACATAGTAGTAAGTTCACAGTAGTGATTGCTTTTCTGTAAAACAAGATCCATATAGCACAGACACTACCTGGAAATACATCACTTGGTACAATTGCAGGGTCTCTCCTGGACTATTTAAATATTATGGCAACATTTCTTTAGTAATCAATCTTTCTTCTTCTTTTTTTTTAAATGAAGCTCAATTTTGAAGTTATATGGAGAAATCTATAGTAAGGCTTCCAGGGTAGTGAAGTTGGAGCAGTTATTATCATAGAGCTTGGCTTTTCTTTGTTTCTTGCTATTTTCAGGTCATAGGGTCCTGAGGCAAGAAGGAGCCTAATGGACTTGCCTGCGGGACAGCCAACTCTCCAGAAGACACTGCTGCGCTAAAGCCATTTACTCCTGGGGAGAAGCCAGTGTAACTGAGGGAAAGAAAGAAAGGGCGGGGGGAGAAGTAACTGGCTTTAGAGTAACTTCACAGAAGATGGGTGCTGTTGGGAAATCTCTCAAACACAGGACATATGTAGAAACACATGGACTCTCACATGTTCATCCATATAAACATACCCACAAGTTATTTGCTGACATAGACACCCATCTGCTACAGATAACACAGACATTCAGATGTCTAACATAAACATGCCGTCCATCTGGTAATTAGACTCAAGAGAAATGCTCACGTGTATGGAAACACTCACAAATACGCATCCCCGTGTAGGAAGCCTTACATAGCAGGGTCCAGATGGAAGAGAGGAAACCAAGGACCGATTCTGTTGGTTTCACTGAGTGGCTACAACATTCACTCATCCGGGAAGTAAGGAGGGGCAGGGTTGTCAACTTTAGTCAGCCCACTAAGCTCATGACTTCCCACGGAACTACAGCCTTATCTGAATACACACACTGCAAAGACACAAGAAAAAGAGTACTTGATTACCCCCCTGCAATCTCAACCACAATTTCCCCACTGCAAAGGAGGTCCGAACTCTGGCAATGAGCCACAGCACAAAACACACACACACACACACGCGTGCGCACACACACACACACAGAGGCCACCTATCTTTACCCATTTGCTTACAGAATGTGTCCTGTGTGTAGATTTGAAAAGGACAGAGAGGGAGAAAGGGAGATCATGACAGTTGGGCAGGAAAACTGGTCAAGGCTTTTCTCTAGAGCTTACTTTATAAGCTTTGGCAGAAGCATCATGCATCTCGACTTAACTGATAATGCAAAGGATGGCTGACCCACAAAACCTTAAAATTCCCTCCAGCTCTAAGAATGCAGACTTCAACGTTCAGTTCATGAATGATTAAAAATGGTCAACTGCCTTCAGAAGGACACACTTAAGAACAAAAATTATCTACTGGTCAAAACATCACCAGGTCAAAACATCAGACACACACTCCTCATTAAGTCGTTCTACTCCATACGGTTCAACGTTCATATTTTAATAACGTAGGTTCAAAGTTATAGAACATCTATAAACATTTAAGGTAAACAAAATCTTGTCTCCTCCAATGTGCATTTATCTAATCCTACTCGCCCAGGGCACAGTTTAATCCCTCTTAAAAAGAAAAGCTGATTGGCTCCAAGAACTGAAATAGAAATGTGTTGTTTTCAGTGGTGTGATGCAGGTTTCTGAAACCTTTCTTTTTTTTTTTAACTCCATTTACATTGTTCCCACTGCACCATTAACTCAAACTATTAAGAGTTTGCGAGTGCAAAGGCTTGATACAAAGATTCTGCATTTTATTATGTTATTCTTTCAAAAGGGACTCCATACAAAGTCAGTGTAAAAAAAATCGATTTTCAATTTAAAACAGAAACAATAATTTCAGAAAGTCTGACATTCTCCTATGCAAAGACTGGGAAAGGGGTAGAGAGAAAATAAATTCTTTAATTTCAACCTTTCTTCACCCTGCTGGGAAGGCAGGCAACCAAGGCCATGAATCCAATGTAACCCCTTCTGGACCCGTAACTTAAGACAGGGTGGGAAGCACTGTATTTTTGGGTGCTGATGAGGAGTGTCATCATGAACTGTATGTATACATACGGGTGGCACTTCTGCTGCAGGAGCCTAGGATGCATTTAGTCTGGGACAGTGTAACCTTTACGCAGCCCTTGCCCAATCTCCCCAAATATATTCCTGAGAAAGACAGCATAAGGAATGTCCAGCTTGAAGGGACCTAAAGGCAAAACTAAGAACAAAAGCACCATGGTTACATGGTATGTGTTTTTCATAAATGGAAACCATGTAGTTAAATAGCACATAGTGGCTCCGCGCCATACCGACTGCTTTCCCCTCCCTTTTCCAACGCATCTTCTTTTTGACCTGAAGGCTGCTGATTCAAGAACGCTGTTTCCGTTGTCAGGTACAGGTGCAGGACAAACCTCCAGAGCCAATTTTAAGAGAATAATAACAAACGCTGCACTGCTTGTGGAGTGCGTAAACCAGAGAGGGTACGTGAGGACACTCACACAAAGAGCACTGGACAGTGCCATCCTTTGCAAAAGCAAGGGAGCTGGTTACCCTAAACACCCAGGAAAGGCGAGAGTGAATACTTTGTAAAGGTTTGTTGTGGGTACAAGAAGGCAGGCGGGACTGAAGGCTGCTGCAGGGCTCTGCCGAGCGACGCCTCCACCCACAACCCGGCCCGGCTGCTCCCCTGAGCCCCAGAAAGCCACAGAAACCGGCTGTGTCTAGAAAACTGGCCACGCATGCATCGTCTGGACCATGAGCTCGGCCCCTACTCTCCTTCCCCTGACCTCTGCAGCTTGCCCATTCCTTCTCCTCACTTACTGCCAACTACTAGTAATTGAGCACCAGGGCCTAAATGAGCCCCTCCCTGGTTGTAAGGGGCAGAGGCGACGAGCGCGCAGTGATGGTGGTCAGGATCAGGGACCAGACGCTGCAGCTGTCACTGCAGAGGGCACTGTTTGGTCTCCCTTGGCAGGGCAGCGTGCCATGGAGCTCTGTGAGAACGCATCTCCTGGGAAACAGAGGCTCCCAGCTGAACGTGTCAGTCCCGGAGTCACATTGTGGGTCTCCTCCAGGTGGGTGTGGAGCACTGGGAGGAGGACAGGGAGGGGAGGGGCCTCCACTGCCTCCTTAAAGGGACATCTGAGCTGGCATGCTGTCCTGGGTTCAACCTGGTGGGCACTCCACCCTTCCCTATACAAGCAAACCATCTGTGGGGCAGATCCGAGGCTGCGCACAGAGCCTGAGGGCACAGGTGAACAGCTGGGCAGGCCCTGGGTGGCTCTGAAGGCTGGGCTCCCTTGCCAGGCCTGCCAGCCAGGTGGGGCGTGGTATGGGCTGGGGAGGGCGGGTCGGAGCCGAGACAGGTGGGCCATCCCAGGGTTAGGAGGGGGCTAGCTGCCCAAGCCGGTAGAAAAGCAGGTCAGAACTGGGGTAGGCAGGCTCTCTTTGGGCAAAAAATAAAATAAAATCATTAAGAGCTGTAAACTGACAGTGCATGTTTGTCATTGTGACCTTTCTCCACAGAACCTAAGGCAACAGAGAACAAAGATGAAGGCAGGCCTTTCGCGACTGGCCCGCGGCTCCCCTGGTGCTGGACACTGACATACACAGACACGTGTGGACACGTCTGGTCCGCTTCCCTGAAACAGAACAAAGACATGTCCCCAGAGGCCCACGAGTGGGACAGCTGGAAGCAAGGGTGGGGCCGGGAGCTGCACGAAAGGCAGGGACGAGTCGTAAGGCGAGGTTCCCAAGAACCGCCAGCTCCGCTTTGGTTTGTAGCTGTCCCAGGCACGCCAGGGAACGGCTTCTTGAGACATCCCATCCATAAGCCAGATGGCATTGGTCACTTTTTCCCAGGATGGACATCTTCTGCTTCCTTCCAAATAAAGTGCAGATGGTCAAAGGACCCTGGTCTCTCATCTGCCAGTTCAGTCAGCAATGAAGAATAAGAAAAACAAAGATGCCCCTCTGGTATACATATATCTCTCTCTATATATTCTTTTTTTTTTAATAAAGCCACAAATATAGAACTTTTAAACCGATGTCTCAGACTGTAAGCGAAGGACAAATTTGTGAGATTTGGGGTCTATGAACTCTTCTGAGAGCACGATGAATGGGATTTTCTTCACATTGACTACAAGGCTGAAGTCCAAGCACTTGAGCACGAAGACGAGTCCGTCCCGCAACCCGTGGGTCACAGCCTCGTCGCTGACGAGCCGCCACTGCGTGGAGAGCCAGCGCTCCTTGTCATACTGCAGCGTGGGGCCCGCGCTTAGGTACCGCTCGAGGAAGGCCTGCAAGGAGAGCAGAGATGCTGTCAGGGAGGAGGGGCCCGCTGCAGGCGCTGCCGCCCGGGCCCGTCAGCTCCCAGCTCCTGGGAAACGTGCTCCCAGCAAATCAGGACAGCCCAGCCTCTCACACCCAACTCCATCAGACCTGCACCATGGAGTCCTTGCTGGGGAAGGAAGACTCCTTGACTTCCTTGCTCTCCAGCCAGTGGCTGAAGATGCTGGCAAGCCCAGAGGTGAGGAGGGTGGGGTGGCTGGTACCCACATCTGACCAAAGCTGTGGCTGAAGCACCAGTCCCATCCCGGGGCCCCGGTCCCACGGCACCTGTCACAGCATGTCCCTGTCTGTAGGTCAGCCTCCTCCCACACCGAGAGCTACTTAGGGCAGGTGCCAGGCACAGAGAGGCACTCTGGCAATGCCAGCGGAATAAATGCAGGGATATCCTTGCACGCACAAAAACGCATGCTCTGTACTTACTACTGGGTGCCTCTGGACAAGCCATTTAACCTTGCTGTGGGTGGAGCTGATGACAGCCTATCCCAAAAGGCTGCTGTGAGGAGGAAATGGTTAACTCTAGCCATCTCATGGTGCAAGGCAAGGACAACCAACGTGAGTGGTGGTTACCTGACGCTGGAGTGTGCACGTGGCAAGTCCGAGGGGTGCCCAGGCCCCACGTCTACCTCCCATTCCTGAGCTCTTGGCCACAGCAGTGCTCAGGTCCGTGGGGTTCCCTGACTCTCCCCTTCACATGTGCTGTTCCTCCTGCTGAATGTCATCTTTTAGCAAATTCCTCCTGGCCGTTTAAACTTTCTCAAACCACCCCCTGAACCTCTCAGACAGACGGACATGTCCTCCTTTAAGTGCCTGTAGCCATGGACATGACTCCCATGTAACATTTTACTTCCTGAATGACTATTGCTGACTTGCTTGTCTCCTGGAGGGCAGGAAGTAGGTTTTAAATATGTATTTCCCATGTGCCCGGCATACACTGGGGGCTCAAGAGCATGTGCGTTACATCAATAAATACATTGATTTAGCTATGAGACAGAAGAAAGAATGAATCGGGGATCCAGAGAGAAAACCCTGGGATAAATCATTGTGGTCCTAATCACAGGTCACGGATGGTTTCTAAGTGGTGTCCTCTTCCACCCACACCTCACTGCCGCTGCCAGGAATGTTATTTCTGATCTGTAAGCATATATTCCAAGGCAGAAAGGAGAGCTGTGCCTCTAATACAACACTCACTTGTATGAATTCAAATAATAAAAAAAAGTATTTCCTTCCTCTAAGATGGGCAATAATTGAAGAGAATGGTAACAAGGGACGCTGTCAAGTGTGCGGAGGAAATAAACAGTCTCACATCCCAGAGGCGAAGTGTAAAACAGTGACACCTCTTAGAAGGACAGTTTGGCAGGATCAGTACCTTTGATCCAGCTGTTTCTCTACTGGAAATTTATTCTTCAGAAATACTTTGCGAACGCACAGACACATACGTAAAAGAGATGGTCACTGCAACACTGTTTACACCAGGGGTTGGCAAACTTTTCTCTAAATGTAAATATTTTTGGCTTTGCAAGGCACACACTGTCACAACTACTCAACTCTGCTGTCGTAGAGAGAAAGCAGCCGTAGACGGTCTGTAAATAAAAGGGTGTGGCTGTGTTCCAATAAAACTCGATGAACAAAAACAGCCAACCCCCTGGCGTAGACTAATGAAAGATCTTAATCCAAATGTGCATCGGTAAGAAATCCCACCACGGCACTCAGCGGAGTAAGATGCAACTACTGCAGAGAATGAGTTAGGCTGGGAGGACAGAGACTGGGGAGCACTGACGTGGAAAGATGGCCAAGAGACAGCTTTATGTGAAAAAAGCAAGTTTCCAAACTATTTCTATATGGCATGAGATCCCATTTGTTTGTTTGTTTTTCATTTCTGCTTTAAACACACACACACACCTGACAGAATATATATTCCCACTCTATCAGGAAGAACTGCCTGGGTTAAGGGAACAAATACTTCACTTTGTAATCATACTTTTCTTTAATGGTCAGGTTTTTATACAAAGAGTATTATTTTTAATTCAGAAAAGGATACTTTTTTAAAATGAAAAAGAAAGCAACCAGGAAAATTTAAAAAAAAAACCTTGAAAATAGGAAAACCATCACTTCCATTCTATGTGGTAAAAGCCAACACTGCACATGCCAATATGTCGCACTCATTTGCAACTACAGGATTCATACTTTCTTACATTCTGCTTTTTTGTAACAATATTCTAACAAAGAATTCTTCCATGCTTTAATAGGTGATGTACTGTAATTTATAAGCCATTGTTCTATTTTAAGTAATTTCCAGTTTGGCATTAATACATTATCTTGCAAGAAAATCACTGGCATATATATTCAAGTATATAGCTGACTACACTGAAGACTTTTTCTAGGAGAGGGATTAGCAAGTCAGAGAATATGAAAACCTTATGGTTTCTTAGTATTTCCATATTGCTTTCCTAAGGATTGTTACTGGTTAGCAACAATGCCACCAGCAATTGTACACCTACAGGGCAATGTACATACACAGGTCCTTACACTAATAATATCACTATCAAGTGTCTGGTGTACTATAGGCCAAGCTCACTGACTCTCAACCACGTTTGATTTGCATATTATGTTGCCATATTTAATATCATTTTCACACAACAATCCTATCAGGCAGATACTATTATTATCTCCATTTTATAAAAGTGAACAAGAAACTTAGGCAAAGTCATAAACCAATTAGGTGGTGCAGCCAGGATGTGAACCCACTTCTGTCTGAAGAGAGGTCATATGCTGAACCCTCACTCTTGTTTTTCCTCCTGGGCCACATCCCTCAGTTAGATGCATGGCTATTTCTTGCAACATTCCCAAAAGTGTGCTCATGTCATAATCCAAAAGACCATTCCGTAAAAGTAACCCCACAACAGCCAAAATGCCATCAAAGCGATGACACTGCTTCCTCTGCTGATGGTAACAGCTCTTTATTTGGTCCTTACACTATGACATGCTGTCTTAAGCACTTCACAGGAATGGCCTCTTTTAGTTCTCACGATGACTCAGTGAGGTAGATATTAGTATTATCCCCGATTTATAGATTAGGAAACTAGGAGGCACAGAGCCATTGGGCCATTGGTCCAAGGTTTCCCATTAGTTGGTGGAGGTGCCAGGTAAGAATGAGTCAACTTGGCTCCAGAACCCACCGAGCACTGCAAACCACGACCTGGACTGTCTCAAGGTGACAGTCTTTCCTCTGCTTGAATCTAGAGGCCTTCAAAGGTATATTTAAAGAACAACTGTACCAAAATAATATAAAATACATGAGCAGCACTAATTCTCATTAACTGGTGCTTTAGAGAAGCCTTTGATTCTATCATTCCTTTGATTTGAGAGAAGCCTTTGATTCTATCTATCACACCCTAAAATGGGATTTCTCTCGCTGAGTGACATGTCCCACCTTTGGGGTCATGCTGTTGGCGATGCAGAAGGCCAGGTGCTGCAGGATGCTCTCCATGCTGTGGTAGTGCTGCTGCCGCGTGGTGCGCAGGTACTTCTGCAGGGCCCGGGCCATGGAGGGGAAGATGGCCTGGGCGGCCTCCCTGGGGTCCATCACCTCCCCTGGGGCCTTCTGCTGCTCCTCGGCCTGGAGACGCTGGATGTGGATGAAAGCTTCCTCCACTGCGACCACCAGCCTGGAGACGGTGAAACACAGAGATCAGGACAGCGGTGTAGGGTTTGAGAACAGGGTCATCCAGGACCTGGGACGACTCCTGCCCACCTGCTGCCTCCCGGGCTGCCACCAGCTCACCCAAGGCTCCCGTCCTTGGCTGTCACTCCCGGCGGTAGAGAGGGGAGGGAAGGGTAAAGGAAGGCAAAGGCAACAACAACAACAACAATATGTAGAATGGGGGCTACAGAGTGAGGAGGGAGGAGCCCTGGGTCTGGAGAGGACATCGTTCCCATTTCTGCCACTAATTTGCCTGGGACACTCAATTTGACCCTTTGCATCTTTACAATAAAGGGCTAGAGGAAAAGAGTTTTCAGGTCCCTCCAACTCTGGCTACAAAAGGCTCTGCGCATGCTCAGAGGTACAAAGAACCAGAGCTGGGCCCCCCCACCCTGGTCCCTCTAGCCGCCCACGCCAGCAGCCCCAGAGAACAGAGGAGGAGGGGCCCAGCACACATGATGAAAACCATCTTTGTCCACTTCAGTTAATGTGATCAGATCTCAGGAGCCGGCTGGGGCCTGGGGATACAGGACCGGCCACTCAAAGTGTGGGCCTGGGGCCAGCGGCCTCATCATCTGCTGGGAATTTTTAAGAAATGCAAGTTCTTGGGTGGGCCCCACTCCAGACCTACGGAGAAGTAAGTAAGCTTGGTGGGTGGGGCCCGGAACCTGAGATCTGTGTTTTAACAAGCCCTCCTCGTGATGCATTTGCAGGCTCAAGTTTGAGGAACACTGGAGCGAGAGTCTCTCCAAAAGATCGAGCAGGTCACGTTTATAAACTGAATACATTTCATTTCTGAAATGAAATTTATAAATTTAATTCTGGTGGTTAAAAAAAGTCTCATAGGGGGTGTTGGCACTGGGGGCGGGCAGGACTTTGGGGGGGGCAGGACATTTCATGGGGGTGGGCAGGACACCTTGCCCTCCGCTTCTTCACCCGCCGTTCGTGCTCCGCCTCCTCATAATACAGCTCGTTGTGGCTCGAGTCCCTGCGCCGGGCAGCTGCGGCGATCATTGCCCGGGACTGACCAGTGGCGTTGTTACTGGGGCCTTTGGGGGAAAGGACGGTGGAGAAAGGACAGTTTTAGTGTTTTAATGCCTCGGGGCTGCAAAACAGAGCAGAAAACTAGTTCACAGTCAAGGGCCGTCCACCCCACCCTGTAAAGCACACACTCAAATCCCAGAAGTAACCTCCCAGAAGGGTGAAGAGGACCCCTGCGCTGCACTCACAATGCTGGCAAGAGGCAGGAAATCTCCCTAAACCCCAATCTGACGAGTGGAAATGCAAAGACAACTCAGAAAGAGATGAAGAATGCTTGACAATTAAAATGCTGGCCAAACATAACAGTGCGCTGAAGATGCGACTTACCATCTGTTCCATGAAGTTCCAGTCTGGCCACAAAGGCAGCTGGAACATTGTGTTTCAGCAACAAGACAATGGGAGACAGTGAGAGGGATGGGAGAGCAGGACAGAGAAGGACAGTCAAGGGCCAGGCAGACACTGGCCATGCACAGGAACATAAGCCCTGACAGAGTGTCACAGCAGCCATGACTTTTACAGAAAATACCGATGCTTGGGGTCTTGGAAAATGCCATGTTTATTAACACAGATCTAGAACTCCTGGTCTCATTCCTCCAACCACGGAACGCCTTAACTTTTCCAAAGGACAAAGCACATGGCATGCTATCTTATGTATCACCTACTTGGTCGATGACGTGGCTTTCTAGTGGGAATCTGCACTAAGTTTTTTGATCACACGTGAAGTTTACCGGTCCTTCAGGATGCACAGGAGAGTGCACATCTCATAGAGCCAAAAACAAACAAGCCAAAAAAAACGGGGAGGAGATTGTCACCAAAACGGATACCGCCTATAAATCACTTGACTTGCTAATAACATGATCCTCTTCTAGGGTTTGCAAAGCTCTTGCCCTGACCCAAGGTGCCCAGCAAGGAATGACTCCGTCTCCTGTTTCTTGCACTTAACCATCTGATAGTCTGACACACAGCTCTGCCTGTTCCTGGCCTGGCCTCTGGCCTCTGGCCTCTGGCCTCCCGCCACCCACACAACCTTCTCAGCCAGGGCTGAGAAATGCCTGTAAGAATCTCACCAGATGGCTGAACTCCTGAGAACTACAGTCTAAACGTTCTGGGGTAGCTGAGTCTTTCGATAATTTATCCAAATTTTGAAAAGCAGCCTTTTCCTAAGAGCTTTCAGTGTAAGATGTTCACAGCAGGAGGCAGGAAACATACGTCACTATTGTTTCATATAGTTTTTGCAAAATCCCCAAATGAATGAACCTCCCACATATGTAGACTGTAAATCAACATTTCTCTAAAAATATGCATGCCAGAAAAAAGAAGAAAAAGAAAAGAGAGAGAAAGGAAAGAAAAGACAAAAGGAATAATTGTTCTGAAACGAGAATGTACCATAAAGACAAACACCGAGAGGAGGTAGAACCAAATGGGACATCAAGCTTAATCGAAGTAGCTGCCCAGCTGCTCCCTGCACCCACCAGACAGCACCTCAAGGCACGTACCATCTACATTGTAGACTTTCAGCCCGGCCATGTGCTTGGCTGCTCGGAATTTGGAGGCTGTTAGGAGGTTGGGGTTATAGATGGTGAAATCTTTATAGTAATTTTCCAGAACCACCAATGCTGCTCGCTGAATACTGAGAAAAGAGGGCAAAATTAATGTAAAGTTTTTTCCATGAACAAGCAGGTCCTAAGTGAAAAAAAATCTTCTTTTGGAGTCAGGCAAAATAACACAACACCAAGGATTAACCTGACGTAGAAGGCTCCCGGGTTTCACCACACCTTTTGCCTCCAGGATGAAAATTCAAAGATGAAACCTGTCCCACTGTCCTGTGGCTTCTGTGCCCTCTCCCAGGTTATTTTCTATTTGTTTAGGCTACACAGAGTTTTCCTCATTTTCCCAGTTTACAGAAGAGCAAACTGAGGACCCCAAAGATGTCAAGAGATTTACAGATGGCCACAGAGCTACCAAACGAGAGAACAAAGTATAGATGTGAGTTTCTCAGGTCCTAGAGCCGTGTGTCCTCCTATACCTCACTGCCCCTGGTGGAAGGGAAGTTGGGTTTTTGGTTTTCTATAGAAATCAAAATGACACCCACACAGGGCAGAGTGCACTCGGAAGATGCTGGCTGCAGACACTAGTCAATCCTGATTCCTCCTCTTTGTCCCATCCATCTTTGGCCCTGAGCCCCCCACCCCGCCTCGAGGCCTCAGCTGAGACCTTGCTCTTTCTTGGTCTACAAGGCCTCCTGCTCCGTGGGTGGGCAGCTGCCTCTGGCCCACCGCAGGGGTGTCTGACTCTCCCGCCCCAGTGTCCTGTGGTCTGTAACCTATCCTCTGCTCAGCCCCTCGGACAGCAGCTGAGGAGCAGAGAAGAGGCAGGAGGGTGGGTGAGGGAGGCACCCATACTCAGTCTTCATGGCCAAAGCACATGCTCTTGGTCAGAGATGCCGGACACTCACCACTTCAAAGAGTGACCTGTAATAACACAGCCAGGGTTGTCACATAACTCATCTCATTTGACCCTCACAATCAATTCAAAGGAAGATAACCGAGGCTCAAAATCCTGGCCCTACACACAGGATACATCCACCAACAGCAGAGCTGGAACTCCAATCTGGATTTCAAACCTCCAACATGTGCTCTGTCGCCCAGATGTGTGGTCACCATAGGACACCGCACACATGTACTGACCTCTTCAGGTCTCCTATGTGTTCACCAACAACCAGGGTGCTAAATGCTACAAAATTATTTGTGTCTTGTGCTTTTTATTGTTCTTCCTGGTTCCTTGCTAAGTAGATGAGCTTGTAAGGATTATATACAGTTGCCCTGGGCACGACAGGGCTGTCTTCAATTCCTGAATGACCACACTGCCTTCCATAGCTCTCTGAGTGGCTCAGGGATCTGCACACCAAGACAGGGCAGCCCCTAACCCATAAGCCTGACATTCTGCCAACCCACCCCTCAGTTCCCCTTGGGGCTGTGCCCCCAGAGTTTAACATGGAGTCTAAAAATTATCTAGAAGTCAATCAGCTAACCTCCTTGAGAGCAGAGTCATGGCAGTGCTTTCCTACCTATATCTCTAAAATGCCTCAGTGTGTGATCTGCATTCAGCTGGGGCTTGGTACCAACCTAGATATGCATACTCATGTGGGGCTGGAGAAATGTGGCGAGACCAAGCTTGCATCATAGAAGTTACACGACTCCTAAGAGCAAATCCACGACTGAAAGCCCTAGCTTTTCGGTGAACTCAGTCACCCACTCATCACTCTCATACTTAAGGCCAAGCCCTGGGAATACAAGGACAGGATGGGAGGAGCTTCTCCTTGCCAGGGGTGTGTGGAACAGAAGCTCTGGGACAACCAACTGGAACATACGGGGGCCGAGGAAGCACAGATGATGGCCTCTAACTGCTCAGGACTTGGGTGGGTGCAAGAGCAGCTTCCTGAGGAAGGTAAGTGGTCCCTGAGCTGAGGCCTGTGTGTCACGGATATTTGCATGTCAGTCCTCTCCGCTTCCACGCACGGCCCTGCCCCGTGGAGCCCCGGCTTAGCGGGGCCCAGCCTCCTCCCTGCGCCTCCATCTGCGATATTCTCCCAAGGGCGGGGCAAGGGCTGCTTCTTGAGCTGCTGCTCCACCCGGAGACAGACTGATCACACACGAACACTGCCCCCTGTGGTGTCTCTGGGCTTTGGCGAGACAGGGAGCCCCTCCACATAGAAACTGGTCTCAGCTCAGACGCGCTGGGTGCAGACCACTTAATCCCATGCTCCTGGACTGACAGGGACCCATCTCCAGGGGCCTGGGTTCCAGAAGAAAAGTATTTCCCTGACTGAGATTTAAAACTTAAAAGGCAACTCAGAGGTTATTCTCAGGCCCGTCTTCAAAGCAAACCCTCTTGTGGTTGTGGGGTTTGGCTTTTGTAGTCAGCCAGCCCGCAAGGAGGGGCCCAGGGCATCACACTAACCCAGCCGGGGCCTGCAAGGCAGAGAGGGAACAGCTGGGTTGGAGCCTGGCGGCCCTATTTCCCAACCTCTCCATCCCTAAACCACCGTGACGCCCAGTGAAGGGGTCTGACCATGCCCAGCTCCAGCCGGGGCCTTCCAGCACGATGTTCTCCAAACTGGGCAAGTCCACAGCCAGCATCACGCCAAAGCCCCGGGTGGCCTAGGGAAGGATCAGGGACAGGACAGGTAACACGGGACACGAGCCTCCCCAAGCTCGAGAGCCTTTGCTCAGAAAACCAAACAAGGCGGAAAGTTTAGGTGGTGATCTCTTCCTCCAGCACCGTCTCAACAGAGGCACCAGAATGTTCCAGAATCAGCTGTGGACCTGCCAGCCCCCAGGCTGACAAGCTAACATGGGAGCATTAAAAAAAAAAAAAAAAGACTTGAGATTTGGATTCAAACCCGACATGCCTTTCTCCACCCTTTTTGAGAGTAAACTGTGTAATAAATGATGTAAGTCTTGTCGGTGAGTCAGGAGGACTATAACCCACATCAGCTCCCGGGCTGTGCCTGGGATGGAAGAGTGGGGTGTCAGACCCCGTGGGAGGCTCCGGCCCCCACGCCCACGCCGCGGGGCAGCCTGAGCGCTCACGGCTGTTTTCCCACATTTTCCTTCATGATCTCCCTCATAACTGGCGGTCAAAGTCATTCCTAGCTGCTGTCCATCTAGCTGCCTCGGGCAATCATCCTTCTGTTCTCCTACAGCCTCAACCTGGCTACAAACAGAGAAATGGGCTCTGAGGCACTGGCGTGAGGAGCTCTGCTGGGCTAAGCGACATCCGCTCTGATATCTGGCAGCCTGATGTCTGTTTCAACTTCAAGTCTAAGGTCTTTTTCATTTCTGTTCTGGCTCCTGACCCAAGCTCTGGATTGGCTGAGTCTGTTAGGTAACTTCAGAATAAAAGAAACAATATGACTAATACATCATTCAGCTTCTAACTAAAATTCAGCAACTACGAGCAGACCCTGCAGGACACCCTGGTGTTAGCCTAAGTCATGGCCCCACAATGTCAGGATGCAGGAGCACCCCTATCCTCAGCCAGTGTTGGGGTTCAGAAGCCTCCTGTTTCTGCTCCTTGGAATGTTCCAAACATGGCACCTCACAGGGCCAAAGCAGGACTGATTTCTGTGTGTGTGTGTGTGTGTTTACGCCTCTCTGAGCTAGGGGCAATAAAATTCTTTTTTTTTAAAATTGTTCTTTTTTTAAGGAGGGGTGGGTAATTAGGTTCATTTATTTATTTATTTGATGGAGGTACCGAGGATTGAACCCAGGACCTCATGCATGCTAAGCAAGCACTCTACCACTGAGCTATACTCTTCCCCCAGGACCGATTTCTTTCAGAAAGCCTTTTCCAACACTCCAGTCCCCACTGATCTGCCGGGGAGTCACGTATCTTGTTCTCCAACAAGCCTGTGAAAGCCCCCCATGTACAGGGCCACCTGTGGCGGCTACCCCACGGTGCACAGTGTCTGCTGGCCCAATCTGCTCATTTAGGAAACCCAAGAGTTGCCACAGGTATAGGAGCAGAAACCATGGAGTTTCAGAGGCAAAAGGGCCTCAGAGATGAACGAAAGCAAATCCTGTAACTAGTCCCAGTCTCATTTCTGGCGAAGGAGAGAGGCAAGAAAAACCAAGTTCATGAGAAACTTGCCGCCTCTCTGAACACCATCATAGTCAGAGACAAAAGGCAGTAACCCGAGTAACTGATCCTCACCCAGAAACCTGTATTACAGGCAGGTGGAGCGTGGCGTCCAGATCGTGGACATGGCCCCACCAAAACCCATGGCGAGGAGCACTCTCCCAAGATAGGGACCCCTGGGCTCAGTAAGCACTGCGTTCCAGGACACCCTCCTAGCTCACTACCCAGTGAGAAACCCCCTTTTCCAGACCACATATATTTGTGGAAAACAGCACACGGACGTCCACACGGCTCATAGTAGAAAGTCACTTGAGATCTACACATAAATACACAAGTACAGGAATCCCAGACATGCACAGGAAAGGACAACGTGGGAGATGACAAAATATTCACGATCAAGATCAAAAGAAGCTGATGTCGCTCCCAATGCGAAAGGAACCCCCTCGGCTCCACCTGCTCCAAACTTGAACTCGCCGACAAGACAGGGCAGCCAACGGAGCAGCACAAATGTCTGGGAATTCAGCAGCCGCAGTTCAATCTGAACCTCACCCTTGACCGTGCTGCCTTCCTGGCCTACTTTCTTTTCAGGACAAAGAGGGTGGAATGTGAAATGCTGGGGCCCTTGGTGTGTAGTCAGCCACAAAAACTCTTCAGTGTCGTTGACAACTGTCATGGCAACGGGGAAGAGGGGCTCACCCTTGTCTACGTTTCTTAGACACACGCGGAGAGAAGCACCTCCAAACAGAGCTCAAATTTTAGTTCATAAAACTCTGAAAGGCGTATTTTTGAAAGATAAATTCTGAAAAACCACCCAATTAATGCCCTACGTATTTCCACCTCCGCTGTCTCCCTTCGCTCTCTGACCGTGGGAGAAGGATGCTCACTGCAAGTGGTTCAGGCTCAGGGCCCAGATGGCATGACCTCTGATTCTTCCGTTTATCCCTTGACCTTGAACAAATTACCTCATTTTTCCAAACCTCAGATTCTTCA